CCACAATTGCGAATGGATCCTCTGTGGCATCACTCTTTTGGGCACAGCAGCAGCAGTCTGCCCAACCAGCCTGCCTTGTTCATGTCTACTCTCCTCAAGACGTTGCTACCGTCATATCTGTTTCCCGCAGCACGAATTGCCCATTTGCTGTTCGTGGTGGCGGGCACTCGGATATTCCCGGTGCAAGCAACATCAATGGCGGCATCACTGTCAATATGGCAGCGCTGAGCAATGTCGAATTGCATGAGAGTGAAGGCCTTGCCAGAGTCGGCGCAGGAGCTAGATGGGGTGACGTGTACAAAGAACTTGAGAAATCAAACAAAACCGTTGTGGGCGGCCGACTCACTGGAGTTGGTGTTGGCGGACTGGTATTGGGTGGAGGACTAAGCCACTTCTCAGGTCTGCATGGCTGGGCTTGTGACAATGTCCGCAATTACGAGGTAACGACATGAACACCACAAATAAAGCGCAAACTGATGTCCGTCCAGGTGGTCCTTGCAAATGGTACTCTTGTAATTGCTTCCAACTCGTCAAATCCAGACCTCTACCGCGCTTTGCGCGGTGGTGGAAATAGTTTTGGCGTTGTCACTCGTTTCGATCTTGACGTATTCCAGCAGGGTCCTATGTGGGGAGGATTGCATGTGTGGCCATTCCAGCCATCAGTAACATCGGCTATCACTCGAGGCTTTGTCGAATTCGCACACAATGCTCCATCTGATCCACACGTATCACTCTTCGCTGGCTTGGGTTATAAGCAAGGAGGCTTTGCCTGGGCTGTAGGGCAATATGATGCTCTAGGAAGGGTCGAGCCTCCTATCTTCACCCAGTTCAAGGATGATGTGGAGGTGTATGGTACGGCAAAGATTGTTAGCACAGCCAGACTGACTTCGTTGTCGGACCTCGCGGATGAGCTAAACCAGTCAGAGCCTGCTGGCATACGAAGCCGTTTTACAACGGCAACTTTCACCGCCGACGCAGAACTGTTAATCCTAATAGTAGAGTTTTTCGAAGAGCAAGTTCAAAAGGCATTGGATAAGGGTTTGGATAAGGACCAGCGCTTTGCGCCAATGCTCGGAATCCAGCCACTAACGCAAAACCTCCTGAGAGCTCAAGAGACACGAGGAGGAAATGTCATGGGCCTCCGTGATTTGGATGCACCTTTGGTTGGTAAGTATCACCGTGGATAATTCTTTCGGTGGCGCTGACAATCGTCACTCAACAGTCTGTTCTTTCGGATGGGAATGGTCTTATGAATCTGATGACAAAGTGGTTATCGACGGTATCAAAGCGGTGCTGGATCATTCTGTTTCAGCTGCTAAGGAAAAAGGCTTATATCACCCTTTCAAATACATGAACTACGCTGCATTAGACCAAGATCCTATCGAAAGCTACGGGAAGGAGAATATTGAGTTTTTGAAAAGGGTACGAGCGATGTATGACCCAGAAGGAGTGTTCACCAATCTAGTGCCTGGGGGTCACAAGATCAATTAATTTACTATTCATTTCCAAGACGCTTCCTTAATGGAGATACGGAATGGGTAAAAAAGAGAGCGGAAAGATGTTTCTCTTAAAGTAACATCTCATATAGATTCTGACGTGCTAGCGTTCGCTTCGGACTTTGAGATTCAAGATAGCATACATAGGAGAGAATGGAAGAGCAGGAAAAGAGGTCACGAGACCATTTTTGACGCAGTCATCCACGAATCCTGCGCCCAGTGAGGTGAGAATGAAAAAAGTCCATACGTATCCCAAGAGACACCATTGTTTGCTCCGCCATCCAAACTGTTTTTGAGCAAAGGAGATAGCCAGGTCCTCGAGTAACATGATAGTCGGCATGAATGCAAAGAAGATCAGGGTTTTCGCAAAGCTCTGGGATGGCACGACCATCTTTGCAGCTACCCAATGATACAGCCCAGAGATAGCAAATGCCATGTACGACTGGACCTGACGACTCATCAATGTCCCTTTTGGAATACATGCGATGTGCCTGGCGACAAAGCGACTAGGGATCTGGAGCGCTCTGCGGAAGTTTTGGTGCCATACGCGATTCCAGAAATTGTTCAAAGTGTAACATGCAGACCATGACCCTTTGAGAGGGTGAACCTCTTCGATAACATTCCAGAAAAGGCCAGAAGTGACACCTACCAAACACACAATGTGGTAGAAAATGTCCATTGGCGCAATTGTTGATGTCCACCAGCAACCTGTTGCCAAACTTCGCAGAGCAAAATTCATGTCGAGTATACTCTGCCGCCCCCCTTCGGTTAACCAGAGAAGAAGAGCTGCTGCAATATCGTGAATTACGTATTGCTCCAAAATTCTCTTCATCGATAGTATCGAGAAGGATATTTTGGATAAGCCTGCTGGGGGGCCTGATGGAAGGCGTGCAGTGCCCCAATTCCAACCAATCCCCCGGGTTGAATAGGCATTACTAAGACACCACCGAACCCTTTCGCCGAAAGAAAGCAAGCTAAAATTCGAGAAAGTTTTTTCTCCCTTGGTGTTCCTCCTAGTTCGTATGTGCTCCACGTATGGATCTTCTAAAACAAGTAGATTGAAGTTCGTCAAGCCAACGTAAAAGACTGTGCAACGACATTATCAGCAGCTATGACTGGTGAAACACTATAGTGTGATCTAACCTGTGCCAAACGTGTAGTTCTTGGCTGTGTCAGGCCCGTAAGGAAATAGCTGAACAACGACGAGACACAGAACCAAAAAGGGAACTAAAAGCAGCCAGCGGAGGCTTCGCTGCATGCCAGAGCCCAACAATAGTAAAAGGGGTGTTGAGAGCCACACAAGGCCCACAAAATCTGCTCGCTCCATAGCTATCGGTGTTGGGATAAATTCGAGGACGAATTGCAGTGAGAGAGACAAGGCTAGGTGGATGTTTGATGCAAATGAATGCTACTTCAGTTGACTGCATACATTTGTACTGGACGCAGAATTTCCTATCAGCGTTAGCCTAGCGAGCTTCCCATAACGTACTTTATCTACCGGGGTGGCGCATGCAATCGCCGCATTAGCGGCCCATTCGTTCCTAAATCCCTGCAGCTGGCCTTACAGTATACTAATGCATGCAGTGCGTTTAATGATTGAATCCTTCTCGGGCGCAAGCACTACAGCCGACTCCACACCACCAAACCCCCCACGTTGCTGACATTTTATCCAAGCGCCTATAATTCGATCACGGATTTGTTCACTTCCATCTCGCTGGTTATCATCATCATCATCCAATATCACAGAAACTTTTTGAAATGGCAATATTGAGCTCTGCGCTTGTGACAATAGACCTACCAGTGACCTTGGTGTCTCTGCTGGTAGGTTCTATCTTTTACTTCTGCTATCTCACAGTGTATCGTCTTTTTCTAAGTCCAATTGCGCATTTCCCGGGACCCAAGCTTGCGGCATGGACCTATTGGTACGAGTTCTGGTACGATGTCATCGCTGAACCCGAGTATACCTTCAAGATTGGCCGGCTTCACAAGATTTATGGTATGCGTAGCACTTTAATTCAAATCCTGCCGAACTACACTAACTGCAGCGAAGGACCCGTCGTCCGGATCAACCCAGACGAAATACACATAGCAGACCCAGACTTCTATGACACTATTTATGCTGGCAGTGGACGTAAGCGCGACAAGTGGGATTGGATCACCAGATCTTTTGGTGTCGATGAGAGTTTGATCGGTACACTCAAGCACGATGAGCACCGTGTACGCAGGGCATCTCTTTCGCCGTATTTCTCCAAGCAGAGCGTACGAGCACTGCAGCCCCTGATAGACCGAAACATGGCAATTCTTCTGGACCGTCTTCGCGAGTTTGCCAAATCTGGTTCACCACTAAAGCTGGATGATGCTTACGCAGCACTGACCAATGGTAAGAGACCCTCGAATCTATAAACTGGACATTGATTTTAATCTTGCTTTACAGACATTGTTGAGGACTATGCCTTTGGGAGAAGCGATCACCGTCTGGAGGCTCCAGACTTTGACCCGTCGTTCAGAGACGCAATGCTGCAGGGCGGCAAAGCCGGGCATGTGCTGAAGCATTTCACATGGTTGATGGACTTGTTGAAGAAGCTGCCTGACTCACTACTACTAAAATTGAGCCCCGCAATGGGCGCGTACTCGCAGCTTCAGACTAGCGTGAAGCGTCAAGTCGCTGAGATACAGCACGCACATCAAATGCACACCTACGACAAGACACGCCGTACCATCTTTCACGAGATCCTCAATAGCAAGCTTTCGGACTATGATAAGTCTACAGATCGTCTCTGGCAAGAGGGCGAAGTGGTTGTTGCTGCTGGAACCATCACTACTGCCTGGGCGCTGGGCGTGTCGACGTACTTTGTGCTCGCCACCCCGGATATTCTGCGTAAGCTCAAGACTGAGTTGGAGGCTGCAATCCCCGATCCTTCGCAGCCACTCAATCTCATCACGCTTGAGGCTCTTCCCTTCCTTACTGGCGTGGTCCAAGAAGGCGTGCGTCTAAGCCACGCTATCTCACACCGCTTGCACCGCATCTGCCCTGATGAGACACTCATCTACCAGGACAATGACAACCAACGCGAATGGAGAATTCCACCTGGAACACCCCTAAGCATGACTAGCAACCTAGTTCATCATGATGAACGTGTCTTCCCGGACTCGCACGCGTTCAAGCCCGAGCGCTGGCTTGATAACGCCCGCCTCGAGCGTTATCTGGTATCGTTTGGAAAGGGTGGAAGAGCGTGTCTGGGCATCAACCTTGCTTATGCAGAGCTCTATCTGACATTGGCGGCGCTCTTCAGAGTATACGGTACCGAGCAGGTCAAGGGGAAGGACGATGTTGGGACGTTGCAGTTGTTTGAGACAAGTGCCGCTGACTTGGTGATTACAAGTGACACTGTTGTCCCTGTCATGCCCGAGGACTCCAAGGGGTTACGAGTAAAGGTTTCTTAGACTGTTCATTATTACTAAAAATAGCTCTTCTCTATGATACATCATCATGATCATGACGATCTAGACGCCAGAGTCGTCTTGAACAATATTTGCGCTACTTTGGAAGCTTGCCCAGTTACTACAATCTTGCTGCACTTGATCTGCGTGAGTTATGTTCTTAATTTTGTCGTATTGTTCCACAAACTGCAAAGCAAATCCCTCCGAGGTGTGCCAACCTATGTGGCAATGCATTAGCCAGGCGCCAGGATTGTCGACCTCGAACGCCAGCACAAGGTACCCAGAAGCAGGGAGCATTGCTGTATCTCTCCTGGGAGGATTATCAAGCTGAAGAGCTATGTCGGAGGAGTAGGCGCCGGATCCTTGTGCCAGGACAAAGAAGTCGTGTCCGTGAAGGTGTATAGGATGCGGAACAGCTAGGGTAGTCTCGATTATGACATATACCCATTCTCCAGCATTAGGTAGCTCAATCACAGCATTTGATTCTGTAAAAGAAGTCTCTCCGTTGAGTATTTGTAGCAATGTCGGATCTGCCCAATTCACCACCATAGACGTAGAGTTCAGATACCAGCGGAAGAGGTTTTCGGTGTTGAAGCCAACAGATGCAATCTCAGTTTTTGTACTGTTTGGTTGTGAAACTGTTTTTGAAACGTAAGGAATGAGGTTGTCTGTCTCATCGCCACAGCTGTCCGTGTAGTTGTAGGCTGATGAAGAGGGTGTAGAGGGCGAAGAACCGTAATAAACGATACCGCGGATATCGTTCGCATTTTCGACGTCTGGAATCGTTTAGCGGGTCACCAGAACAGTTGAGTTCCGAAAAAGTACTCACCAGAGCAGGCAGACTGAGGAATCGCACGCATCCAAAAGTTCTCTGCAGTAGATGCTTGGTCGGCTGTAACAATAATCTGTAGACACTCAGTTTCTTGTTGCACACCTTAGCAGATTGAGGGTTATGACTCACATCGTAACGTTGACCCATGCCAATATCCAAGACTTTTGTGGTGTACGGCTGAATAGGTACCAAGTCAGATGCAATCACAGTCATTGTGTGATTATCTATCATGAACTTGAAATGGGTATCAACAGCACCATTCACCAGACGTATCCTGTACGATGAACCTGCAGTGAAAGACACGTTATAGCGATGACCGCCATCTTCGTAAATATTTGTGCCGTTTATGAGAGCGTTGTCGAGAGTAGGCGGCCCATCACTCTGAGCAGACATGTAAAGCTCATCGACTGTCTACATGATCGTCAGTACATACCCCAGTGGCCCAAGTAATGCTAGGAAGCTGAACATGCTCACCTGATGATCCCAGTCGTTGAGAAATAACATCCCCAGATCCTCGTCATAGTCTGCCGTCGCTGGCCCGTTGATAATGAGCCCACCAAAGATACCTTGCCAAGCTTGAAGTGCAAAATGCGAGTGATACCAAGTGCTTCCGTACTGCGTTGCTCGCCATGTATATGTCGTCGAGCTTCCTGGGGCAGTAGGGCATTGTGTTATAGATGAGACTCCATCCTGATCATTTGTACCGTTTTGCCGGATGCCGTGCCAATGGAGACTAGTTCCATTCTGGGAGGTTTCGAGTTTGTTGTTAACGTGTACAACTACGGTATCGCCCCAGTCGGCAAATAACGTTGGACCAGGGATGGTCCCGTTCACAGCCATTGCTATCCGGGAAACTCCATCCGGTGCAACCGTTACTTCTGTCAAATCGAGCCAGTATTCTCGAGTTACTCCCGTGTCAGGGACGACTAGATAGCGTTGCAATTAGAGTCATGTCATTCCTTGCTGTCGATGGGAGGCTTACTTGTTGCATAGTCCGTATCTATCGAATAGTCGCACCATGTTGAACGAGACGTTGCAGAATTGCCAGAGCAAGCTGCTCGTTGAGTTAAGGAGTGGCTATGCGAACGGTGGTGATGCGCTTGTAGGTCATTGCGGATACTGATGGCTGAAACGTGGGCGATTAGCCAACCGGCACCGAAAGCACTCAGGAAGCGCATTTTGCAGATGGATCTGGTAGAGAATTCAAGTCAAAATCTGGATAATTTGAAGTATTGATAGACTCAAGAAAAAAGTATGGACACAAGAAGTGGTGATGGGCATGGTCTTTAAGCTTGATGTCCGAGCTATGACCAAGACAAATTCATCATCCAGCTCGGATTGCGTGTCGAAATACGTTGCTCTAATCCAATGCTGCTATCAGGTGGAAGATAGGATTCGTCATCGCCAAACCCACTCCACCTGGTTGAGTCTTTGCCTGCAATGCGACGCATAAACAAACACCACGATGTCGAGTCAGCGAAACACCTGTGCCAAGCACTTTTCGAAGCTTTCGATAGTTTCAGTCTTTGCCCCTAATACTGTTGCTCGTATTGTTTATTGCTGCTTCGCGTCTAGTGCATTAGATAACTGTTTCTCAGAACAGAATGTTGGGCCACATCCTAGCCTCGCGGAATCGGACATCTATAATGGCCTCTAGTATACTACGAAGATCTATGCAAGTGTAGCGGGAGCAGCCGGTATTTTTCCATTATGGGTATAGACGTGATCATGCACGTGAGCCACTGGCTTGGCTTCGTTTCAGCTAGCAAGATTCAAGTTAGTATGTCCACTAATCAAGAAGACAATACAGGGTAGCCAAGTAAGGAATTGATATTTATGGAAGGGATTTTAGACTATGTACCAAATGCGGTATAGATCTCCTCGGAATAATTCTAGCCTCTTACTTAAACCTTGGTGTCTCCACATATGAAACTTTTGCCTTGTACGATAACTAATCGATCTATCTTCCGTACAATCTCCCTGAATCGGTGCACGGGCAGTCTAGATAGTAACCCATGTCTAAATGAGAATGACTGCGCCCAAGTGATGACGACTCACGCTTACGCAGGACAGGAGCATGACGATAGTTTTGCAAGTTATTGAATCAAATTTCATTCAACATAAAAAGACATTGCAGAAGACACATATCACTCCACAGCTTCTCGAAAACAGATTTGTCTCACTAATCGACAGATTCGGAAAATATTTTGTCAACTATGTTGGCCTTCAAGTCTCTCGCACTTCTGTCTGCGCTGCCATGTGCTGTGTTGGGTGGGAAAACCCGCCATGTATCGCAGAACTTCACGCTGTTCGGATACAGTAGTCAGTTCGGTGGAAATCCTTTGATATACATGGACGGTAAGCAACTCACACAAACGATATAGATTGCGATAAACAATCTGACCAATGTAAGGGTATGCATACCTTGCAGATGTAGCCGGGCTTAACGTTACCAATCCTGCAGTCGTGCGATGTAAGTGTAAAATGCAGAGACTTATTGACAATTTACATAGTATTGACATATCGCTAGTTACATCCAATTCCAAGAACGAATGGTTCGCTTCACCAAACGCAACTACATCAGGGGAGTCATCATGGTTGAACACAACATTTTCTGTTCCAACAGCCCAAGCCTCCGACCGCCGTGTAGGCTTCATCAATGGCAACTCAACGTCTGGGAACAGGATCACCTCTGGCTTTCGGCTCTTTGGCCCTTTGGCATCACTTGTTACATCTAATGGGCAGTTGGAGTCTTTGTGGACTGGGCTTGACGTTGGGCGTAATTTATACGCTTTATACTGGAACGATACGAGCTTGGGTCAAATTCCGATTACTTTGACAGCTGTCGCTCCTGCTAATTGATCGGATTAGGAAGGCTCCATGAAATTTGTATGATGGACAGCTCTGCTGTATTTCCAGGGCTATACGAAGAAAAAGGTTCATGTTGAATTTTTTAAAGATAACGAAGACGTTAACTTTGACCTTTACTCCAATCTTATAGCATATAAGACAGTTGGTTAATAAATAGATTCTGAGCCCACCTGGCAGCTGCTCACCACTATGAATCACACTTCACATGATTGATCGACTACGTCTCTTTTGCACTTGAGTTGAGTCATTATATTTGGCTCCTCCAATGCGACAATTACATTAATTCGCTCTACATTGCATGACCGCCAAAATGTTAAAAGTTTTTGGGTTCACGTACGTATCGCCCGCACTAAGCAATCTGGAAAACCCAGCTGTGTTCTTGGGTTTCTGAACGCAATAGACTCTGGGCAGCTGTGTTGTAGTGTGTGGTAATGGAAGAAATTATGGAATGCATGCAAACCTCGAAAGGCCAATGGGGCCAAGTCAGTTAACGTACGTATGCAGGGGGGCTAAGCATGTTGGCTGACTCATTAGCGCGTGCCAAGAAATAATTGCATTGTGCAGCGACTCGAGGCAATCTCCAGCCACCCACCACCTCCCACCCTCCACTCACCACCACCACGCCCACTCATCACTACCGACATCGCCTCCATCGTCGCACGCTCTCCCCTACACCTACATGTCACCTGCGATCCAAATTTAGCAGAAATCCCATTACAATTCCACTCCGACACCGGTGATCACGGCGCGCTTCGGCCGCAGCTTCACGCGCTGACTCGCCCAGCCCTGGTTTCGATCCTCTCTTGATTATTCTTTCACTTGTCGCTTGTTCTCGTCGTTCGCCAACACAGCCTAGACTGATACTCCGGCCACCATCCTTGCGAATCTCACAAGGCCTCGGGACGTTGGCAATCACAGCGCGTTTCGGTCTCGGCCCGCGTGCTGGCTTGTCTAACAACCTGAGGGGTGGTTCGCAGCCAGACAGGTGTGGTGTATGGTGTATCGTCAGACACGTCAGGGCATCATCGGCTGAGTCAGGGCTGCTCTTTACAAAAGCTCGGGTGGGAGGGCATCTTGCTTCAACGCGTTTTGTTGCAGGGGCGTAACCCTGTAAGTGCATAGTTTTTGGTCTTGGAGAGCTGTCTGGGCAGGTAGACCAGGTACGATAAATACAGCATGACATACAATCTCCTGCGCAAGGGCGGCATTCCTGCATTGGCGTGCATTGCTTCTCCATCCGAAGATGACTCATTCCTGCAATGCACTTTTCAAGTCAAGTATGACAACGACCGCCTCTATGCTACCTTTTCGCTCCAATACAACACACACCTACACGATACGACGGATAAACAACCATTTGATCTAATATATGATGCTGATAACCTCCTCCCTACTACGACTAAATGCCAGATTCCAAAGCGTGTTCTCTCCCCAGAGAATGAAACCTATGTCGCACGAAATGGCTTTTCTAAGATTCATGTTTTGTCATTGCATCTTCAGAAACCGTGCCCAATCATCTGCCCTACTCCGTCCAGCAATATTGCGCCCAAGTCGAGCTGCCAGACCCCTTCTCGGTGCCTTGTTGACTTGGCCAAATCCAAACATATCGAGATTATATTTGACTTAAAATGGCTGGATCGTAAACGTGTCAATTCATTCTTGAGTATTGTCAGCCAGCCAGAACGATTTCATGGGTTTCCTATTGATGAGAAAAACCTGAGAGGACGGCGGCTGGCCGACTGGACTATCTTCAGTCCTGAAGAGGAGAACGTGGTGGTGTCAGAGGAGCTTCCTCCGTACACAAAGGCGAAGCACAAGCGACCCCGAGGGGGTGAGTGTCCCTAGTTACTTTCAAGATCTGCGCTGTTTTAGCTGATGCATGATCCTGCAGTATCGAGTAGTCCATCGCCACCAACGAAGCGTATGTTCATACCTCCAGGTTCGCCAACAGAGAGAGCCACTACGGCATCACTGCCCAACAGTCCAGCGGACTTGTCCTCTACAGTTGACAAATCACCACGTATGATATCTTTGTGCACTGCATCGGCGCTTTCCCGCTCTTATGCTGAGAATTCGTATCTACCTAACCCTATAACTGACATGAACGACCCATCCGTGTTGGAGAATAACGTCCGCAGCATAATGCTCAATCTCTTCCCCGCTATGTTCGCCTCCTTCATCGACCGCTCCCGCTCGGTTTCCCCATCCTCATCGTCCTCGAGCGACCCAAACACACATCCAACAGCCGCGCCTTCACTCAAATCCATCTACCAACTCCGCTCGCTCCTCACAAAACGCGCCGTCAAACATGCTGAGAAGAAACTTAGCGCCATTTTCAACGACATGCAGTATGATGCAAATTCTCTCCGACTGGCAGCCGACGAGGAATTCCTCCAAGTTGTAGCAGAGGAGAAGTTAGATATAAAACAACGGAAAGAGGACGCGCTAGAGGAGCTGGGTGATGAGATCGACAATGTCGTTCACGAGAAATTGGTTGCGTTGTCTGATGAGCTTGATTATCTGGTTGAGCAGGCAGGGGTGATGGTAGAGAACGCGGTTGATGCGAAGGTAGAGAGGTATACAAATACGACGTGGAACAGGGCAGTGACGGGCGGTCTACTGGACCAGGAGATGCGGGCAGGAAATAAGGTCACAAGAGCGGGTCATGCTGCGGGCGATCGAAAGCGAAAACGTTTTAACTTTCGCTCATGTGTGCGGTGAGCCTAGACTATTCTACAGTCCGTCATCGTCGCGCCGTCGCGGTGTAAGCCGTGCACGCGGTTTGAAGCACCTGGTACCGAGGCCTAGAAATACTGGTATCTCATTGAAAATGTTTCCATTCTCTTCACTTTCCGAGCCTTGGGGCAACAGGTTAAACGCATGTTCTGAAAGCTCTGGCATAGTTCTATATGCGTCCCAACCAGAGAATCCTGAGATTGTCATTATGCACCTCGCATGTACGATATTAGAACCATTCGACGTACTTCCTAAGAAGCTTCTAGAGGCTATATCTCTGGAAGAGTCGCCGTGACGAACTGTTGTTGTTTCGCTTGGGGCTGTCGTGTTGTTAGGTTAACTGATGAAACCGAAATTTGTGCCTGATTGAGCTAGGATCTCGCCGAAGAACGGAACTACGAGGTGATATTTGCATTCTAGCCCGACTATGAGGAGTACCGCAACCTAGCCCCCCCCCCCCAGCCTAGGCAGCTTCGACCTGGACCAGAACGGCGATGAAGTGGTCAACTATCGCGAGCTCTATTGCCACCATCATATTGGCAATAGCACCTTGTGTTCCGTAAAAATTACTTCACGTCTATCCCCTGTTGCATTCAGGCTTTATTCTAACAATTCAAGGCCTCCTTCCGCTCCGGGGCTGCTCTAGTCAACCATCTGGCCAGAATCCGCCAAGGCCAAGCTGCTCTTTCGACCCATGGGGCTGGCCACCCTACCGGTGTCTTTGTTGTCTAGATAAAGCGTAAGTGGATAGAATGCTTTTGCATCGTTGAGTATTACTTGGTGGAAAACACGTCTGAAATAGGGTATTGGGACCGTGGGCCGACCACCATACTTCAAAGATTCGCTTTGATCCATGTGATTAGCCAAGTAGCTGCTCGTGGTTGAGTGGCCAAGATCTGCAATGTTTAACTGTAGTCAATATTTAGGGAAACAAGAACAATCGCCAGATGAGCTACTATATATTAAAGTTTCTTTCTGACATGGTTCCATTTCGTGTTCTGCGACCGACTAAAGGCGGTCGATTCATACATATCTCGGGTCGTCGGTTGGATCTCCATACCCCTCTAGCCCTAAAAGAGTTCATACCACAGCCCTAGTGCCAGCATCAGAGAGAGAATTAGAGCCGATAGTCAGCCGTGGACACCATTTGGACCGAGAAATGATGCAATTGTGGAGGTGTATATGACAATCACAGAAATACTACATACACGCTGTCGAGTCTCCACCACGTGCCGTACTTAATGGCCCAGCAATCACTCGCCTCACCGATCGCCACCATTATATCTAAATAAAGAACTGACTGTACGCTCGAGTGGCTACTCGCTAACCTGGTAGACCTAGACGATCTAGTCTATCCGCCTACTCCATCGTACTCGTTAGTACGGCGCTAGCCTAAGAATTTCCCAAGATTTCGAGATGGACAAGGCGAATAGTGGGGGACATTCTTTGGGCCAACTTCACCGTGTTTCTCTTCATTGTCGTACACGATTTAAGCTGCGATGAAATTAGAGTAAACTGGATAACGGATTGTAACTTTCTAGACCGAGGATCATTTTGATAGATGTACAAGTGACGTGTATGCGATTGTATTTATGAGTTTGGGTGATGGAAGAATGCGTGAAATGTATGACTAGTTTTGGGGCATGCGGCACCGCCCGATCCCTTACGGTTGCTGTGACCATGCCAGTGGCGTTACTTACTCATTAATCCACCTTCAGCTCTGCATTTGTCCAGTTTCGTGCTGACACATTGTATTTATTGAATCAAATGCGGTCATAATTGGTGTTAGAACATGAGTACATTATTCTCAACCTCTTTCCCTTTTGATGAGTCTTGTCCGAGTCATTTTATCCAGGAATGGGATAAACAGCTTGACTCTTATATCCGTTGGTACCAACCGTCCTAACACCAAATATGACATTGTCCTTGCTCAGTGGAAGAACTACAAAGCCAACTTTGCCCACATCGACTGTGTGTGTCCATAAACTGGCTGTTGTGGGTCGCCAGACAACTTCATACCCAGCCACATCAGGACTATCGGAATTGATCCACTTGATCCGCGAGTCATTATCGAGTATGGTTGTGTCGATGGTCACGTTCTTTGGCATACCGGGAGCTTGCGAGAGCGACCAAAGTGTAGCAAGATTAACTTTGCCCACGCGTGCTGTGTACTCAAAGTCGACAAATTCAATTAGGTCACCGTACACGGTTCCATTTTCAGTGCGAATGTCCTGGTGCTGATGAGCAAAGTTCTCGTTGGGTTCCGTGTAACGAATTGCAGGGTAACCAGCGCGAAGGAAACCGGTATGGTCGCCACCGCGCAGGAAGCGATCTAGACGGTAGATGATAGCAATGTTCATACCAGTGGCATCATTAGCAGCAACTTCGGCGGAGAAACGAGCGAGCTCTCGTGCAGAGGTGTCGCTATCGCCGCCGATTTGAAGTCGTCGAGCAGGTGTAATGTTGTCAATCCCTGTCAGTGACACGCCCTCTGCAAAAACGCGAATGGTAAAAGGGTCCTTTTGTCCACGGTCGCCAGTCGAAGATCCGACAATATCGCAGTTCAACATGCCTTCGACATTGGTACTAGAGTTTCGTAGTGTCTCAGCAAGGTAAGTGGAGCCATAGAGGTTTTGCTCTTCGCCAGCGACAGCACCCAGAATGATGGTAGATTTCGGTTGATGCTTGGATAGTATACGAGCAATCTCCATCGCAACTATTCCAAATGAGTCTCCATTCTACGAAAGATGCAGTACTGAACTTACTGGCTGTCCCGCTAGCATCATCGTTAGCACCAGGCGAATCGGCTTCGTAGTTGAGGACATCGGTGACGCGACTGTCATAGTGTCCGGTCATGACGTAGACCCTGCTTGGATCCTGGCTTCCTCTGGCAGTCGCTAAGACATTGGAGATGGTGACTGGGAACGGGATCCTGCTGGCCACGCCTTGAACGTAGCTCTGGACCTCGACTGTCATGGTCCCATTGCTTTCATCGGCATACTTTTGCATTTCAGAAGCAATCCAGTCCCTAGCTGCATGAATACCACGCGTCGAGCTATTGTATGTTGCAAGGGTGTGGCGAGTTCCGAAAGAGACAAGCTTCTCAATGGTGGCTTGGATATTGGCAGCGCTCACTTCGTCTAATATTGCACGCATCTCATCATCCGGAGCCTGCGGAACGAGTTCAGTACCGACATTTGAAGGCGGCCATGCTGCATTGGCGCATTGAGTGTATGTCTGGTCATTGATGGCAACCGGAGGGGGAAGGTCGCGCTCATGAACATCATGTGCGCATGCCGCTGAGATCAGCGTACTGACATTTAATAGCGACAGCAAGCGCATGGCTATGTTTAAAAAAGAGAAGATGGAAGCATCTGAATTTTCTCAGGACAGCGACTCAAATAGAGAAAGGCGAATAGCCAGCGGCCAAGAAAGCAAGATGGCATGCCATGACATCGAACTCCGGCTCGGAAGTCGAGATGTTATCGAACTTCCCATGTCAGTTAGAGGCTTCAGCCGATAAAGCTACGCCTCGACTTCATCTTGCACCTTTTTCGCTTGGTGGTAGCCACCGGATCCGCAGTTGCATATAACAAGCGTCCTGCGAGCAAGGATTGCGTAGACGATTACCCGGATAGGCAGGAGGGGAAGAAATCGACGTCAAGATTGGACCCCCTGTGATTTAGACGGAAGGGAATATGAATTGATATGATGTGGAATAATGTAGGGTTGGTCATGGAGGAGACCTGGCTGGATGGATGGATGGCCGAGGCCGAGCAGATTGCGATAAGTGGCTGGCGTGCATATCGCGTTCCTGTGAGGCGGATGATCAACACGCGTCGAGCAGTAGATTTTGACAAAGAAGGTTGCTAGGCCCAAGAGAAATATAGTTGGAAGCATCTACGCAATTGGCATCGATGTAATTGAGAGAATAGCATGTGTAGAGCGCCGCTCGAGATGGTGTTTGCATTCCCAATCCAGTCCGCTTTTGGCTAGCGCGAGGATGCGACGACGATTGCATGTGGCCATGATGCAATCTGTCAAATCACCAAAAAACGTCGCCTACAAGGCACCCATACATACAGAGCTAGTTGTTCAAGAGCGCAGACATTTTCGTAAACAATCACTGCGCGATTCTTCCACACTTTTTCCAGCCAAAACAGCAAAAAAAAGCTCGCAATGGTTCGTCTAGTGGCGCATACATAGCACAGCGCAAGCTCACGTCGCAAACAGAACGCCCTCTTCAACTCAGCCTTGCGGCAATCGACCTCGATACGGAAAGACTTGGATCAATTTGCCGATTCAGCCTCGCCCTCTCCACACCTGCAGGCCCAGCTCAACGCCTCCCTTGCAACATTCGCGCGCACCATCGACGACTATGGCAAGCTTGCGAGACAAGAACCGGTGCAGACAAAGGCGGAAAAGGCGCAGGAGAGATTGAAGAATTTCAGGGCAGAGCTGGATGAATACCGTACTAGCTTCAAGCGCATAAAGAGCGCAAACGAGGACATTGTACGTTTCGAACCACCGCCCGCATTCAGAATCGCATGCGACAAATGCTAACTCACCGCCCTCACAGCAAACCACACAAGCCCGCACCGAACTTCTAGGCCGCCGCCCTCACAATACAGCCACGCCCGAGAATCCCTATGCACAGCACAACCTGGCTGCCCAGCACTCAGCCTTTGCCCCCTCCCAACCCTACGACCCCAATGCCCCCTACCGACCCAACCCATACTCGGCAGGCGCCCCATCAGGCGGCCAATATGATCGCGAAGGCCATCTCTTGCGCGAAAACACATTTTTCAACAAAACCTCGGAGCAACTCGACGAGTTCCTCGACAGGGGAAGAGCCGTGCTCGGCGATCTTGGCCATCAGAGGGATATGCTCAAGGGCACCCAGAGAAGGCTATACACAGTTGCCAATACCCTCGGCATCAGCGGAGACACGATACGCATGGTCGAGAGGCGAGCAAAACAGGACAAGTGGATTTTCTGGGGTGGCGTCGTCGTCTTTTTCCTCTTCTGCTGGCTCGTCATACACTATCTACGCTAATGTCAATTGACTTGGTTTCCTTTTGCATCAGTTTCGGCGTATTCAATTGAGTCAGCAAGGCGTCCGGCGCATTCAACACATTGAGGGGTCACGAGCATCTTTTTGCGTGGCAGGACATCATTGGTCTAAGGTGCTATCATGCGTTCCTTTACCGTGTCTAGGTTTGCCAATAGATTCCACCGCAATTGGCACAAAAAATCCAATCATTCATTGATGATTTCATCCAACAGTTCATACTCAGTTGCGAACCTAGCCCTGTTGGCTAGCACCATCTCCAATCAATTCATTCCGAAATGAATTATTGGTCATAGATCATCCTTGTTAGGATGCACAAGTTTGCTACTAGAGACACATGGCATGACTACCAGCGTCCAGCAAAGGATTATTGCTCTAATCTAATTTGGCGGCTTTTTGATTCAGAGAACTCAGTCTTTGCGAGTTGTAGATGCACTATGATATAGCACAAAAGTAGAAGCCATTACCCTAAAGGGGATATTGCATTACGGAATGGTTATCCTTACCTTCCAAATTAGGCAGTACAAACCTATCGTTCCTGCTCAAATGCCATGTCCGTTCGATTCAATCTAGCCTAATCAAGGAAACTTCTTTTCTCTATCAATACAATTCACTATCCCATCCTCTCCATCTGGACAAGGTATCTTACCACATGAAAAACTTCCTTGATAGGGTATCCAAAACCCTGGCTATTATCCATCAATATGTGCCACGTATAAGGCGGTCGAGCTTTCCATTCACATTCTCCAGTGTTTCCTTCATCTCCCGCTGCTGATGCTGGATGTTGTTCAGCTTGTCAAAACATTCGTCTCGAGAATATCTGACGGGCGCATTTACGGGAGGTGCCCATGCTGGGTTGGCGAAAGCTGGGACTTCAAGTCGAAAATCCACTTTGCGGCGTCCATATTTAACGACAGGTGCTGGCCGTGCTCGGCTACGACGTTGTTGGATGAAAGCAGCCAATGGGCGGACTGCATACGATTCTTGGACCTTTTCCGCTGCCTTCTTCCAGTCTGCCAAGTATTCGCTTTTCTCGTGACGGTTGATCTTGTCCTTGGTATGGCCCCAGAAAGTAGACAACGCTTCGGCCAGCAGCGAGGACTCAAACTTTCGCGCCAATTGCACAAGAATGATGAACGTATGTCGCAACCATTGGAGGTCTTTGGGCCGATATGCGTTGTTGAGGCACCCCTGATCGAGATAGTGCTGGAGGACTTGACGAACACGGTGTCGCGTCTCCCCGTTGCCATGTTGGGCATAAGGTCCAAGTATGCCGAAGAATTGCTCCAACGTCTTCTGAATAACCTCCTTTCGAATGCCGAAGTGACCATTGAAATAGTTATGCAGTCTCTGTACCCAGAGATCTCCTTGTATTGAGTTTTCAGACTTCTGCTTGGGAAACCATGCGCGGAACGTTTGCGCGTCCACCCATACCTGCTTTTGTCCTAGGTGGATTTTGATATTCTCCATGTTCAAATACAGTGTCTAACAGATTATGAGGGAGGTATCAGACCAAGATATAGTCGAAGCTGTTGCGGTCTGTTTGGGGAGGGATAGATTGGACCTGCTTGCCACGTTCCAGTCAGAATCTCACCATTATATATTACTCCAACTCGGTCAAACCACCACATCAATTCGATCACCAAACCATTTCCATTATCCAGCCATCTCAGCTACACCGTTTAGTCGCACAGATTGTGAATATGTTTGCTCTCAACGACATTTGATGCCTAGCCATCCAACCACCATGACCCAATACGGTCGCCACCTTGGACACGTAAGCCCAAGGTTACAACAGCACGCTCCGAAATGAGAAAATCCAACCATCGCCTTCTATTTACTTCATTGTTGACGCTCACTAGCCGGTGACAAACATGCAACGTTACATCAGTTTTCTTAGGTCCAAACCACCGCCACCCGACACTGGTAGCAAGTCGTGAACGAGCTTGCAGCAGCAGCACTTTTCCGCAAAGATGTGCTGGCTTAAGGATATTATTGCCTTTCATTATCTATTATCGGGTGAGTTGTTCTTTCAAAATGGTTTTGTGAGAGGCCGCCGAGCAAACCGCCAACACTGTGATGAATGTGCATTTCCGACATAGCATACCACATGCAATGCTCATGAATATATTCCTTGTCACTACCTAGATCCATCGGCTTTTCTTTCCACATCTGTTCACAACATCTCAATTGGTTTGAGCTGAGACATTAGTGACAATAGTGGTGGCGGTTGGTAAGCCAAGTGATCGTAGCGCTGCCAGATAGTACGGTAGTACGTAGTAGAGATTGACCAATCGCATCATTTTTCGGACCAACGGCCAGCGACACTCGCCATGCAGCCTTTGGTCGAATTTGTTCTCCGATACTGACACCAGGTATCTGCTATCGACTCCTTTAGGACTAGCGGGTTTGGAGACACCGGACGGTCCGAGATGCCTGTGAATAGACCGGCTTGAAAGTAGGTCACGGAAGACAGAACAAGCCATTTCAGCAAGAAGATTGACAAACTCGCCTGACTATTGTTCTTGTCCCCTTATATTTCGAATACAATCAAATAACACCAGTCTTGATCAACTGACAAACAGCACGAGCGACTACTTGACTAGTAACATGAATCAATGTGAGCCGAACAATGGCAGCCCGCCTACAGCTCTGATACCCCATTTCAAACGCATTTTGCATCAAAAAATACTCAAAGATTCCATACTCAACGCTGAATATGACGGGAATGGCACTTCAGAAGACCCTTACGTCATAACGGCTGCCAAATGACCCCTGCGATCCCATGAATATTCCAATTGGTATCAAATGGGCGATAACTGCCGTCGTAGCCATAATGAATCTTGCCGTGTCATTTGCATCATCAGCCTATTCTGAAGGTATCCGTGAAATACGGACAGAATTTGGTGTTAGCCAAATCGTCGCCACGTTGGGAATTGCACTGTTCGTTTTGGGTTTTACTATTGGGCCCCTGGTGTGGGCACCTTTGAGTGGTCAGCCTGTTCGCACCCATCTGTTGTCGTCCTATCCGCTAATTGAATACAGAGATTTATGGATGCCGGTACATCGCGGTTGGTTCTGTTTTTCTTCTTGCTGCATTCAGTGCCGGTTCAGCGGCTTCTCAGAACATGACTACTCTAGCTGTAACGCGATTCTTGGCTGGTGCTTTAGGCTCGTCACCACTGACAAATGGTGGCGGTATTCTCGCGGATATGTTTCTATCTTCCTAACGAGGACTGACAAACACTTTGTTTGCGGCGGCTCCCTTCCTTGGCCCAGCGATTGGCCCCATTGGTGAGTTCTGCACGTAACCATTAAATCTAGCGATGCTGAACCTTTCCAGTGGGTGGTTTTGTTGGACAGACAGTAGAATGGCGTTGGATACAAGGCGTAATCGCTATCTTCACAGGAGTGATGGCGATCCTCTGTGCCCTAGTTGTGCCCGAAACGTATTCACCTGTGCTCTTGAGCAAACGAGCCGCAAAACTTTCTCAAGTCACCTCAAAAACCTTCAAGAGTGAGGTCGAGCTGGAGGGAGGCAAGAAAACCGTCTCCAAAGCATTCACCGCGGCGTTGATCAGACCTTGGATATTGTTGTTTTGCGAACCAATAGTCCTCTTGTTGGCTGTATACACGGCAATCATATATGGAGCACTCTATATGTTCTTCCCAGCTTTCCCTATTGTTTACCAGGTCGGTCGGGGTTGGTCGACAGGCATTGGGGGTCTCGCATTCATCGGAGTTGTAGTAGGCATGTCCTTTGCAATAGTTTATTTGTTTTGGGAAAACAAACGCTATGCTCGTAGCATGGCAAATTCACCGACCGGACATCTTGATCCCGAAGCGAGATTACCACCCGCGCTTGTTGGGAGCATCACCATACCCGTCGGGCTTTTTTGGTTAGCCTGGACCAATGGTCCGAACATACACTGGATCGCCAGCATCATGGCCAGTGTCCCGTTTGGCTTCGGCATGGTGCTGGTCGTTATATCGTCCGTAAATTATCTGATCGACTCGTACGTTATATATGCGGCATCAGTGATGGCTGCCAGCTCGGTCCTTCGCTCACTCTTTGGTGCGGCATTCCCGTTATTCACGCCTTACATGTACCGAAATTTGGGTATACATTGGGCCTCATCTATTCCCGCGTTTCTGACTCTCGCTAGTGTACCTTTTCCATTCTTATTCTACAAGATTGAAGAGAGTATTAGAATGCGTTGCAAATATTCCCGTGAAGCTGCTGCGGTGCTGAGCAAAATGCGAAACTAAAATCAGGATTGTAAGGAAGAATTGCTCCATGGAATACTTCTTTCACGTTAGTATCATTTCATTACAAGTGTCTGTCATCCTAGGCAGACTAAAAAATAATCGATTATACAGCACATTTGCATGAAAGGCAGGTCCAGCTCTAGCAGCAGGAAACACGGTATGTGGACGACATTTCTTCTACTTTGTTTGCGAATGACGCCAGGAAATGGAGTCCCTTTTGTATATCGACGGCCCCCGATTCAGATAACTAAACTTTCCCATTCAGGTAGTCTTCAAATCTGCAACCTTATAAAATGTTTACAAACGTACTCCTGTACTCTAGCCTAATACGAAATACGTAATATCAATGCTACAATACTATAGCACTATGATCTTGAGTAATGCCTAAGGAGCAAAAATTATGTAGATTAAAGATAGGTTGTTTTATAGGACAGATAAGAGTTTATAGTCAAGCTAAAATTCATTTAGAATCAGTTGCTAGCCCTCGATATATCCCTCCTATCCTGTGTTAAGTTTCAAGCACATTCGCTACAGCGTTACTCTACATGCATAACTTCATGTATCGAAATTTTAGATATGTTCAGTCAGAAATTAAGTAGCAAATTTTTGTCGTTAGCACTCGATGTTTACGTGGATGGCTTCATAATCCATTAGTACATGTGGCTACAGAGTTCAACAATGAATATTCCATTGTCTTTCCAGTCTTTTCTCAGATTCAGTATCAACCCCCAATTTTGTGATCAACGTAGCATGAGTTTCGTCTATATTGAAAGCTTTGGTGTTTGTTCTTCGTAAAAAGATATTCTGAGCGCCTATTAATGTTATTTAGTTGAGCTTGGCCGCACCAAATGCTTACACGGTCCTCATCCCCATTTACCAATCCAATCCTCCAGCACCCCTCTCACCGCCAGCCAGTATCTGCGCTGTCTTCCCCTTCTCCCCCAGTCCCCCTTCAAGATGCGAAACTGGCACGCCCTTCCTCCCCTTAAGCTGCAACCGCTGCAATTTCTTATCTAGCGCCACGAACGGATCCTCCGTCTCACTCTTCTTAATCTTAAACTTGCTCGTCCCCAACACGCTATCCAGCTCCTCCACACTGGGCAGCTTAACATACAACCAGCCATCCCCCCTCTCTTCAATTGGGAAAACCGCAATATTGACAGACTCGTCGTTTGCACACTTGCCCGCGTTTTCGCCAGAGAGCTCGTAGTTGCGTTTGTGGTAGGGGCACGAGACCCAGAGTTTGTTGTTTGCAAGGTCGTCACCGATGAGGCCGTCGGAGAGCACAAAGGCGCGCTTGTGTGGGCACATTTGCTGCGTGCAGTAGTATTTGCCGCGCACTTTGAATACCGCAAGTTGCGTGTCGCCGCGCTTGATCGCCTTGCTATCCCCAGTGTCGACATCCTGGAACTCGGAGGCTTTGACCAAGGGTTGCCAGGAGAGCTCTGTCCATTTTGTGCCGCGGAAGTCTTCGGTGACGGAGTCTTTGGGCCAGTAGGAAGGTCGTTCCTGGCCGCGTTCTTGCGTGGGCTCGATGGTGTCGACAATGGTTTCAGAGGTGTTTGCGAATTGGGAGAACCAGGCGCGTTTCTTGGGGTCTTTGAGGACTTCGGTCCATTCGCAGAAGAAGGTGCCCACAAGATCTTCCATTTGCTTCTCTAGATCGGCGCAGATACCGAGTTTGTCTTGCAGGATGACCTCCTGGAGGTACTTGATACCGCCTGGGAGGTTCTCCATCCATCGGGCTGTTCTTTGCAGCTTGTCGGCCGTCCGGATGTAGAATGCGAGATAGCGATCGAGAATAGGGACCACGTCATCTGGTGGCACGTCTTTGGCCAATAGCTCCGAATGCCTGGGCTTTGCACCACCGTTGCCACCGACAAAAATATTAAATCCCTTTTCAGTGGCAATGAGACCAAAGTCCTTGTTTTGAGCCTCTGCACATTCGCGCACACAGCCTGAAACTCCGCCCTTGAACTTGTGTGGACCACGAATAGACTTGTAGCGCTCTTCTAGGCGCACAGCCATGCCTACACTGTCACCAATACCGAAGCGACACCATGTTGTTCCAACACATGACTTGACCGTTCGGAGCGACTTCGCGTACGCATGACCAGACTCCATGCCGCCGTCAACGAGTTCTTGCCAGATATCTGGTAGATCTTGTTTGCGTGCACCAAACATGTCGATACGCTGGCCACCCGTAATCTTGGTGTAGAGGTTGTATTTCTTCGCCACTGTCCCAATGATGATGAGCTTCTCCGGTGTGATCTCGCCGCCAGAAACTCTAGGAACAACGGAAAATGTGCCGTTGCGCTGGATATTGGCCAGGAATCGATCATTTGTATCTTGAAGACCTCGGTTGTTTACCTCAAGAAGATGTCTGTTGTACAGCGAAGAGATGATGCTTCCAATCGTCGGTTTGCAAGCCTCGCATCCCAGGGAGTTGGCGTCCTTTCCTGCCTCCTTCATTACAGCAGCGAAATCCTTGAGGCCTTTGACGTAAATGATGTTGAAGAGGTCGGCACGAGAGTACTCAAAGTGTGGGCAGAGATGGTTCTTGATCTCATTGCCCATAGACGCCATAGTCTTATTGAAGATGGTTTGGACGAGCGGCATGCAGCCACCACAGCCAGTGCCGGCCTTGGTGCAAGACTTGACATCGCCGATGCTCTTGCAGGTTCCGTCTTTGGTAGCATTGACTACATCGCCTTTGGTGACGTTGTGGCATGAGCAGATCTGGGTGTCATCGGATCTACGGTTGTCAGTAAGAGTATTCCCCTGATCACTGCTTCTTTACTCACAAATCAGAGCCATCATCGTCGCCCTTTTGCGCGCCAACAATGAGCTCGCTGGGTGGTATCTCGAGCGGCTTCTGGTTCTTTACCATGGGCACAAGTTTGATGTAGTCTTTCGTATCACCAATCATCATGCCACCCAGCAAATACTTTCCATCCATAGTAAACAGATACTTCTTGTAGACCTGTTGGAATGGGTCCTTGTATGTGAGTGCCTTGACTGGTGGTGGTGCTGGTCCATCTGTCAGGCTCTTGACCTTGTCTCGCGTCGTCTTCGCATTTGGCTCCTTGCTATCGGCGCGCTGGCGTCCAGGTAAGTTCTTGGGGCCATCGCGATCGGCAAAGAAGTCACCGAAACTTGCAACTTCGACACCTAGCAGCTTGAGTTTTGTGCTGAGATCTGGGGCTTTGAACTTTCGCGGTGCGTGTGCTTTCGCTTGGGTCAAGTTGAAAGCTAGTACATCGGCCATCTCGACACCAGGAGCAATGAGGCCAAAGGTTTGGTTTTCCCAGCTCGCACACTCGCCAATGGCATAGATGTCGCGTTGAGATGTTGCTAGATCAGGTCCGACAACTATGCCTCCTCCTCTGTCAGCACATTTTATACCCGCTTTCCTGGCCAGCTCATCTCGGGCTTTGATGCCAATCTACGCATGTCAGTTTTGTTCGTCGTCTTAGAAAGCCAAGAGACTTACTGCGAAGCAAATGCAGGAACACTCCATCTCCTCGCCATCTTCAAATACCACGCCTTTGACAAAGTTGTCTTCGGTAGTCAAAATCTTGCCCACCCTCTTACTCAGCATGACGTCCAGGCCCAATGCTCTTACTTGCTCCACAACCATACCACCAGCATCGCCATCTAGTTGCCTCGACAGCACCCAGCGGTTTCTTTCAATCAGCTTAACTTTGGAAAAGTCCTCTAGATCCATCATCGCATGTGCGGCTTCGAGACCGAGCAGACCGCCGCCAACAACTGCGCCAGTAGTGCCTTTTCGTGAAGAAGAAAACTCGATCAATCTTTGCAAATCCTCAATGGTGCGGTATACGAATACACCTTGTGCATCGTGGCCGGGCGTGTGTCGGGGAAGAAGCGCATCGGAACCCGTTGCCAGAACTAGGATGTCGTATGATACGGTCTCTCCAGATGATGTTTTGACCGTCTTGTCCTCGGAATCAATCTCGGTGACAAGAGTGTTGAGGTGGTAGCTCAAAGCGCCTTCTGGCATGGAGGAATACTGTGACGAAGTTAGCCTCATTCATATGCGGCTGCAAGATTGCGACAAACCCATTCTTGCGGATTGAGATATAAGTTTTCCACTTGACGGTGTTGGAAGAAGCTAGTTAGGCCAACGCGGTTGTATGCAAGATGTGGTTCTTCGCCAATGACAACAACATCGTATTCTCTCCGCTTGACGTCGTACTTCATGAGTTTCTCGCTGGCATCGATGAGCTTCTGCACCAAACATCTCTTTGGAATTTGCGACTTACATAAAAGCAATGCCGACCATGCCCAATCCTACAACCACGATTCTTTTCCGTGGGCGATCATTGTTGATCTCTCCCTTCTTCTCCAGATCTGCTACTTTTTCAGGTAGCTTATTTGCTTCCGCATCGTTCCATTGCCGATTTGATATATTTCCATCTTTTGATCCCCAGGTCGCTGTGATGTGGCGGTCACCCGGCGGCGAGTGTGATTCACCAGATACAGGCTCGATGCCTTGGGTGACAATCGGTTCCGTTTCCGCCATTGTGATTTCAAAACAATTCCTCGAATGCCCGTATGCCAGTCGTGCTCAGAAATATCGTCGCGGACTCAAGTTACGAGGCGCAAGAGATAATACCACTATCCGCTCACCCAAAAGGCACAACAAACCACAAACGAAATGGGAGAGAAAGCAGGACAAAACGGAGCGAGGTAGAGAAGAAAGGCGTAGCCCTCAGCTTGATAAGTCTAAAAAAACACATGAATCCGACCTATCCATTCGAAACAAAACTCCCGTAGCACAACAAAAAAACTACCGCCCATTAGCTAGGAATACCTCTAGTCTAATCCTTGCCCCTCAAATCACACCACCCTCCTAAACCACACTTACATCACACAAACACCTCTCTCTTTCCCAACCCACTCAACACACACCGGCTCCTCCTCCGCGGTAACCTACGGAAATGCATCATAATCTTCCACCCTCAGCACATCTATCTCCGGTACTTCATTACTAGCAACGCTAGCGTCAAAGTCGAAGCGGGTAATACGACGTCAATGCGCAGCCCGCCCTCCCGCCTCGCTATGGATTTAGCCTAGCCTACTAATAAAAGACGAGTAACTTAGTTGATTATCTTCGCGGGGGTTCTGAGTGGGTACGTGGTTGCAGGTTCTCCGTGGAGATTCGCGTGGCTTGAGGGTTGGGGGTTGGGTTGGGTTGTCCTTATCGCGAGGTGGGCCGAGATAGGCAGGGCTTGGCGGCAGGGGTCTTATCAGTGGGTTGAGGCATCGGAGATGCTGGGGGTTGGTGGTGCGTTTCCGATGGTGTTCGCTGGGGGATAGTAAGTGTGGGTCAAGAGAGTGAGAGATGAGATGCTGGGGAGCGGAGGGGGTGAAGATGTAGGTGAGGATGTTGCGCACATGAGAGAATTTTTTGTGTCTTGAAATCAATTCAAATAGGAGAAAGCGTGTCGCGATAGTAATGAGATTTGTTTTTTTAATGGTACGGAACCATTGGGGTCGCAGTAAATCCAGCATCGCACCGTACGCTTTGCCTGATCGAGTATGAGAGAGTCAAAAAAGCGACTACTGTGTATCAACCAGACCCAAATATCCAATATGGCAAAAAACCAAACAAACGCTTCACTTAGATGCATGCTGTGAACAACTAAAAAACCAAAATCTCATCTTCTTCCCAACCCAACTTCCCCAAAACTTCGCACGTCGCCTTCTCCAACGCCTCAGGTCCACAGACCAAAACCATACCCTCTCCCTCCCCCCTCACACACTCCTCCTTGAGCATCGCCTCTCCAATCCGCCCTCTCCGCCCCTCCCATTCCTCATTCCCCTTCGTCAATGTATGCAAAATCCTGCACCGATCCTCATTCTCCTTCGCAAAAGCATCCAGGTCTTCCCTGCAAAGTATATCCTCCACAGTGCGATTTCCATACAAAACAGTGCACTGTGTTGCATCTTCCCTGTCCTGCATGACTGCGCGAAGGACCTGGTATATAGGCGTGATACCGCTTCCACCGCAGATCATGTAGAAGCGCTTTACTTGCTTGGTTTGCTTGCCGTTGATACTGCAAAGGCCGCGACCGAGGTATTCGAATTTGCCGATGGGACCTTTGACGTCGAGGCTGTGACCGAGGGGGATGGCGTCGAGTGCTTTTGTCATTTTGCCGCCGGCGCGGGAGGGCGTGTCGGCGTATACTTTGATGAGGATGTCGCAGTAGCCTTTTTGGTTGGTTTGGGATATAGGTGTGTAAGAGCGGATGATGGCCTCGCGGGTGACTGGGTCCCGAAGACGAAGCATGAGGTGTTGACCGGTGGGTAAGCCTAGGGTTTGGTCGTCATGATCGAGTTTGAAGCGGAAGATGTGCGTGTCTGATGAGACCTTCTTCTTGGATTGGAGATGAGCTTGGCGCCATTCTCGAGGGTGAAGAAAGACGGATCGGGGCTCGTTGGATCCTGTAGTCGCTTGGCCTTGTGCCAAAGCCTTCTGAGAGGCCTCATCCAAGGTGCCAATGTGGTAATCAGGCATCATCTTTTTAGCTGTTTCGCTGTCTGAAGGTTGTCAGTATTTCTACTCAATGTCAATCTTCAACATGTGTCTTACGAATCGCCATGAACTCATCAGTAGCATCCGTTGCTGCGGCGCTCACGATGCTCTGTGCACCGCCAGGATGCCCTTCCAGAAATGCAGTGCCATCGTACACCTCTCCGTTCACGACGAACCATGGGTTCTCTGCCTTGTCATGCTCTCGTAGCTCGTCAATGTCGATGACCCTATCAACTCCATCTTTGGTCATTTTAATCTCTTTAACCTGTTCGATTTCGGCATGTTCTGGCTCTTCATTGCCCACCTTCTCTCCCCAATGGCCGTTGGAAAGATTACCGCCAGCCTTCTTGACGCGCTCCATCCATCCGCCAGGCATTAGAGCGGGCTGAGTAGGATGTTCGAACCGCAGTTTGTCGTTTTCCTTGTGTATCATAATTCGGAACCAAGGATTGTTCATCATGCCCAGGACACTCCAGTACATGTCTTTTGGTTGCACGCACATGGCTTCGTCCATGACTCTGACTACAATGTCATCTGCTTGTTTGAGTTCTTCAGTTGAAATTTCAATATTCCAAAAACACCAGCAGAAGCTTGTTTCACGCCAGTCCATGTCTAACCTTGCGTCATACAGCTGCCGATCATCGAAAGCTCGGTACTTGTCTTCTGGATAGTCGATATTTGCGAGTCTCCACGACTTTCCTTGGTCCAAGGACAGTTCACAACGTGTTACACGCCGGCCGCCACCACTATAAGCGTAGCCACGTACGTTGTAGGAACTTTGACTCGAAGAAAGGCCTAATTCTTCTCCGTGTTGGGGGAATGCGATAGCTGAATTAGGCGAAAGATCATAGATGGCATACCGCTCGTCCGTCCACCATTTGGTGTTCTTCGCCGCTTCGTCTGGGTCAACTATGGTGGGTAGTACTCTGTTGTCGTAGATGTGGTACCAGTTGTCACTAGGCTCAGCAGTGACTATCAGCTTTTTCAGCCACTTGACACTTCTACCGCCAATTTGACCAGGAATTACAGCGCGCAACGGTTTCCCGTGATCGGGTCTTAGCATCTCGCCGTTCATCTTGTGTGCCAGCATGATTCCCCGGTTAGGATCCATGACCCAGTTGAGTTTTACCGAAGTGCCATAATATCCATTAGGCTACGTAGAGTGTCAGTAGTTAGAAAATGTGTTGAACAGTATCACTTACAAGTTTGTCAGCTCCCTCCATGCAAACGTACTTGGCCTTCCGCAGAGGTTTTGCTCGTTCGATAATGTCCTTCATCACCACACCAGTGAAAAGTGCAGTGGAAACTCCAGCCGGACCCCACGAGAAGCCTTTGCTCTTTCTGACAATATTTTGTTCTTTTCTTCTGTTGCCGGCACAGACCAATGTAATGGGATATGTCACATTCTCGTACTCTTCCAGTAGTTGCCGCAGGGTGATTTTGAGAGGGTTTTCTACCAAGCTACAAGAGTCTCAATATCAAGATGCTTTTTTGGAATCAACAACAACTCACCCTTCTACGGAGAACTCCCAGTCTAAACACTCGGCATCTTGAACTTCCGGTACTGCTCCATGATTCCTAACGTAAAAAAGCTCGGGGCTAGTGAGAAATCCCTCATTAAACAAATCAGTCAACGGTGCTTCGACATTGAACGGATGCACACCCGTCAGCCGGATCAGTCTCGGATCTCGTGGGACATGCGCGTCTGGGGTGGATTTGTCGAGGTCTAGAACTTGGGGTGGAGTATTTGGAGGTGGTGGAAGTGGAAAGTCATCTTGTGTTGATGTTGAAAAAGTAGACTCGACATCGTTGCCATCGACGGTTTCTGGTGGTGATGGGGGTAATTGTTTTGATGTGGAGCCTGCGTGAGGCTGTAACTGGCGTTCATGAAGAAACGACATAGGGACGGCCGCCTGCTTTTGGGTGACTACGCTCATGGTGCAGATGCAGCGCGCGGTACCTAAACTTAAATTGGTGCCGACAGGCGGGTACTGCTCTTAGCTATGCACAAATGTAGAACAAAGGCCAAGTAAGAAGAAGAAAATTCAGGCACAAAGGCGGAGTGGGGTATTAGAATTTAGAGGTAGCGGCGAGAGTGTTGGACTTCTGGAATTGTTGGCTTTCAGCTAGATGCAATAGTGCCTCCGGAGCGCAAATCGAGCGGTCCTCCAGTAAGTAACAAAGATGATCTTTTCACCAACGTCAGAAGCTTACATAGGAATACCGCGGAAACCCAACTTCCATCTGTGGAGAAGACGTCAAACCCTGCATGTCGTCATCACCTAGACCCTCATGGCGGACTAGGCTCTGGCCATACCGAATTACTATAGAGTTTTGATATGCGGCCTTATCTTTGGCGCTGAAAGAGGATTAGCGCCCGATACGGGGCGGCAAACAGTGAGCGATTTCTGGGCAGTTAGACGATGTTCCTGGCCGGACCGCACAAAGTGGATAAAGAGTGGGGGCTATCGTCGAAACATTAGGTTGAAGATCTTTTCAGCGGAGATGCACCATCCGAGTATACTTTCTCCAGTGTCACCACAACTTTGCAGAAGCCGCAGTATAGCGACGTTTCAAGCCATGTTCATTGCGCCGGCTCTGCCTGAGACCACGAGTTCTTATGCAGATTGAACAGATTCGCACGAAGCAAAAGCATTTGTGATAATATCAGTCTTACTGCCTCCACAAGTGCAGGACCAATCGGAGCGCCTGCGCAAGAATTGGCCAGGTAAGAAGTAAACATTGGCTACATGATTGCGCAGTAGAGTTCACTCAGTCTTTGGGAGAGTCCGGAGGAAACATTAGACCGAGCGAACTTGATAGTGTTCACCGAAGGTGTACATGGGTGTAAGTAAGGGGACCGGCTGTTCTGATGGTCTGGTAGAAACAGTGCGCGCTTCTCCGCGGGGTACAAGTGCAGAGGGCGCCTGGTAGCCCTAGCCATAAGCGATCGGTCACCCTTGACTTTGAAAACATAAAATAGACTTCAGGTTCATCCGAGTAGCTTCTCTTTTAGTGTTTGGCCTTGTCCTATGGGCCCAACTTGAACATGCCCCTGGAGTCGTTGTTGCAATGTCTCCGCGCGAGCCTTCATGCGCTGCTCCGATCTTTGCTTCACGCTGGCTTTATCATACCGACCACGAATACCATGTTTGATGCGTGTAATCATATCAGCTGCCTTGCCTTTGGTGAGGTCGCTTGGCTTCAAGTGGTCTTCTTTAGGTCGAGACTTATTGATAAAGTCGATTTGTGCCTGGGAAGCGCGACTTCTTCGCCATGCCTGATTCTTATTAATCCAGATGTATTGGAACGCGTCCGCCGCGTATGTATCAGCTGCATGGACGACATGAGAGAAAGACTCGCCCTCGGCGATGACGCGCGGTGTACCATATGGGCTCTTCATCTGCTTGGTGACAGGTATCTTCCAATAGTACTTTGCTCTGAAGAAACCATCCTCGGTGTCCGAGGGCTCGATAACGAGATAATTCCCAGTTTTCCCAGAAAGCACATACCTACCCTCGCCTACACCTACCCATGCATTTGGGCTAATGTTGCGTATGTATTGATCACCAGAAGTATCTGCTATGAGGTCATGTACAGAGTCGTAGTCGGTAAAGGAGATGCTGCCAGGCAGCTTTTTAGCGACAGTCGGTTGTTTTGCCATTGAAGCTTCTTCTTCTCTTTGCTTTTCCAACTCTTTTCTTTCCTCGATCTTTGCCAAAGTCTTTGTGTCTGCCTTGTCTACAATTTCTGCAGGGTCCAGACCAAACAAGGTAGGGGTCGAAACGACTCCAGTACTCAAAGCGGCAACCATGTCAATGATATGGCAGTTGTCTTTACCATCGTGTAGACGCATGCCGCGTCCGATCATCTGAACCAGGAGATTGCGAGACTTGGTTGGCCGGGCCAAAAGCACACAATCGATGTTGGGGATGTCTGTGCCTTCGGTAAATACGCCACAGTTGAGCAACACGGGGAATGCTTTGTTTCGGAAAGCGTCGATCCTTGCGCTGCGGACCTTGGTTGGCGTTTCTCCCGTGACGAATTGCGCATCGATTCCAGCCTGGCGGAACATGTTTGTGAGATTGGTGACGTGACTGAGGTCAACGCAGAAGATGAGCGTCGAGAGCCGGTCCTTCGCCTTGGCCATCCAGGTTTTGAGCACAAGATTATTCGTCTCGTCAGTATTGATGGCTCTGGAAAGAGCGCCGGCCTGAAAATCACCATTTGATCCTGTGTTCACTTTGGTCAAGTCGGCCTTGATCTCGACGGTTGTAAAGATTACATCAGAGAGCCAATTCTCTTCAATCATGTCTACATAGTCACTGTCTAAGGTTAGCTGGCTCACTCGCCACCCGTCCCATATCGAGACTTACCGGTGGTAGACAATGTGGTCAATGACAGCGCCCAGCCTCCTGCCGTCGAAGCGGGATAAGGTAGCCGACACGCCAACGAGAGCAGGAGCGGCGGTATTGCTCCAGTCAGTAGCATGGCGCAGGCCAAAGTGCTCAAGGACATCGAGATAGGTCGAGCTGACAATGTGGTGGGCCTCATCGACCAAGACGAGTTTATAGCGGGCGGGATCAAACTTCTGAAGACGGTCGCCTGATGTAATGCTTTGTATCGAGGCAACGGTGATGTCGGCAGCACCCGAGGCTTGATGGTTGCCCATTTCAATGTCTACATGCTTGGTGGGGTATGCGCGGGCACAATGGCGTGCGGCCTGCTCAACGAGCTCACGACGATGGGCGAGGATGAGTGTCTGGGTCGCATTGCCACGGGCGGGGACGCGATCGATTAGGTGAGTGAAGATGACGGTTTTGCCAGAGCCTGTTGCCAATGATACACCTAAGCGCTGGTGACCGCGCTCGAGGTACGACAAGACGGCTTGGATACATTCTTCTTGGTATTCGCGTAGGACAACAGCGGGTGGAGATGGTGGTGGTGATGGTGGCGAGGATGACGGTGATGAGGGCACAGCTGGCACGGCGGCTTTTTTCCTGGCCCTGGCCAGCCGTGAAGCATTTCTTCTCCCTACCCAGACAGGTCGGTAGCCTGGCCGAGTGCACAGTCTCAGCGCATGGCGGAACATGAAGACGCGTCGAGGGAGAGCGAGACTGTCGCCAAATCACGATGCATGACGCAGTACAGGCAAAGTCGGCCGCGGTAGAGCCCCACTTAAATGTCTCCAACCACCTACGGCAGGAATATTTCTATAATTACAGACGAATGGCAAAAGTAATGATCGTAGGATAGCCGAGAGCAAGCCATATCCGAGCATGCGATTGTCTTGAACCGTTCTAGTGCCTGAGAAGCATCTGCCAGCAGCCTTGCTCATTGGGGCAAAGTATCCATCACGTGACCTGTCTGCAAGCATCTCTTCTTTTGCTACCTACTCCACCACAACTACTATCACCACCTAGCTGCATGTACACACTGCCACTTGCTGCTGTTTTTCCGGTCGATACAGGTGTACTGGGAGACGGCTGCCTGGGTCTCGCCCGCCATGCAAGCTGAGTCCGACTGGACTGACGAACCTTCCCGGTCGTCCAAGCGCCGTCGAACAGATGCAGAGAGATTGGCACGTCCTCGGAAATACCACGTCGAAGGAAAATACTGTGACAGATACCGCCTTCTCTTCAATGGCATTGTTCGGGAAGCTGCCACACGCTTCGACAATAGTCACATGCCCTATGCTTTTTACTCCTGGCAAATTGGTTCTTCGTTGTGGTCCACAGCCGAGCAAGCTACCTTTTACTCGGCTCTACAGCGACTGGGAAGAGACGATGTCCCAGGCATAGCAGATGCAGTCGGTAAAAGCATACCAGAGGTACGCGAACTGCTCTTGTTGCTCCACGGGGCCGCAGTCAAGCAGGGCAATGCTGGTCTGACTTTTCGCGATATCCCGGCCGCCGTTGAGATTGGTGACGAGTGCGACGCCCAAGTAGAACTTGCAGCCGATGCACTGGCGTGGTACCAGGAAAAGTGGGAGGCTCGCCAAGAGCAAAAACAACATGGCGACTACTGGTTGATCACTTCGGCCGTGGCTGATGCAATTGAGAACGCCATCGACGGGGAGGCAGACGAGCCAGCACCTCCTCGAAGAGGGGGGAGGGTCATTGTAGGGTACGTATGTGTGTTTGTATCTAAGAAGACCGTGCTGACCTGTGCAGAGCATGCCTGTCGTGCAAGAAGTTTAAGCAAAAGTGCGACCGAGAGCTTCCATGCAGTAACTGCAGGCGACGGAAAACGGCCCAATGCGTGTATCCTGAATCATCTACCAAGGCTGATCAACCTGTCAACTCTGAGGAGCCCCAAAAAGACGGGGAACCAGATAAACCAGACCATGCACCAACTACACCAGCTATTCTAGAATCACTGCCAGAAGGATCACTGTTGCACCCACAAAATATGCTGAAGCTATCAAGGGATGTCTTCATGAATCGTTCACCGACGATACCTTCTCCTTGGCCGCACTGGTCGCAATGTACATCAGACATTGCCCAAGAGCCGTCCATCTATCGTACTGCATTTGGCGACTTTCACAACCTCGTCGTATCGGTAACTACACGGCTTGTGCGACTGGCTATGATACAATCAATGTCCCGTTTACGGTCGCGGAGTAAAAGAACCACACACGGTGCACTTCCCACAGTAAGAAAAAGAGACGTCCGTACCGCCGTCGACCTTGCGGGTATGCCTAGAAACAGCCAAGAGAGATGGAGAGGTGTTGCACGGCGGTGCGCACTCAGAGTCTACGATCAGCAGCTATCTCGACATGGTCGCAAGAAAATCAAAAGAGAGGTGCCTTGGGATGAGTTTGAACGCATTATGCGCCCAGAGGAGCCCATTGCCAGTACTCTGACGACGGACGTGGAATCTTCAGATGATCAGGCTGAAGCCCGGTTACGAGCAGCGCGAAAGGGAACGCCACTTCCTATAGAACAACTCGCGCTATCTGACTCGGATGAGTCGTCGCTGGACGAAACTATGCAATCATCACAGCCCACACAGCCGTCCCGAGATACAGCCGGCCGGTACACAACAGGAGACGGCCAAACACCAAAGCCACCAACACTGACACTGAAGCAGCATGATCGAAAAAATGCTCAAATGGACGAGTTGGAGATGTGGATTATGCTCGGTCACGACCCAGACAAGTCCAAGTACCTCAACCAGATCGGTCCCGTCAGCGATGAAGACGACGAGGAAGACGAGAGAGTCATCACGCAACCCGACGACTGGCGCTCATTCACAAAGTATCGCGTGGAATGGGAGGAACTTGAAACACTACCAACACCCCAAGACTTTGAGGCAAACCACACACCTCTCGCAGTACCGCCCGTTCTCCACGACGATACCGTAGAACCCCAAGACTCTAGCTCCGATTACACAGATGGGCCTGGAAAGAAGAAGCAGCGCCCAAGGAAACCAGAACCAGTCGAACTTGAGGCAGAGAGCGCTCACGCTTATGCAAATCGGAAGGCACGAGAGTTAGCGCAAGAAATGGAGCTGCCTATGAGCGAAAGTAGTCGTCAAGGTCATGGGATGAGTAGTGCTTCTAGCGATAGTGGCGGCGAGGGAAGGTACAAAGTAAGGCAATCCATCGAGACGGGTGGCCGTAGGGCGGTGCATTCGGACGACGAGGTGAGCGAAATGGACTGGGATACATTTATCGATTGAGATTTCAGTCAGTCATGGTATGTATCGTCTAGGCAGTCACAGAAATAGCCGGGTTCAAGTTTCTGCCTGAGTAATAAATCACCTACCGGTTTGGTATCAAAGAGGTTCGGTACTAAAGATGCTTCTTGGACGTCACCTAGCAGCTAGCTCGTTTATGTAAAATGGCTGTTGTAATTTGGTATTCGATTTTCCGGTAATTTTGAGCATACGTATTGTTCTTTCATCCCATGTGTTCCATCAACGCACAGTCGCAGCTGATTTCGGATTTATTCGATCCATGGCACTTGTGGAACACTTACTGTTCACACACAAGATAAGTAATGTCTAGGTTGAGTTCAAACTCCAATTTTGCTTACTATCATAATGTCTCTAGTATCATCCACGTCTCGTCTGATACCGCACTCTGAAATCAAACGGTCATAACTGGCTGTTCCCAAGTTCGGGATATTTTTGTCTACACATACCAGTCTGGTTCAGGGTCCAAAACCCAAACTCCCAAGTGAGAAGAGAAAAAAAAACTGTCAAATAAAAAAAACTCATGCCAGCTCACCATTCTTATCCAAACCCTGTACCAAGGTTCTCCTTCCATCCACTCACAACACCCGCTTCATCTCGACCCCCCTCCCTTCCCGCCTCCCACATAACTCTCCCACCCAACCACACTTTTCCCATCATCATCATCACCACCACCACCAAACCGTTCCCCCACTCCAAGCGCACTAACAATGAAGCTACTCCTCCTCATCTCCCTCGGCCTCCTCCCCACCCTCGCCGTGGCGGGCGAAAAACTTCCCCCCCGTCCCAGCGGCAAATACGGCAAAAACGTCCCCCCCGAGCCCGTCGACCAGCCGCTCAAGCACCCCAAAGATCCCGCACTGTGGTGGCAAGGCATCACCGACGATGATGTGTATTACCCAGAGTGGGCCATCGCCGCGCGCGCAGATGCGACGGCGGAGACGAAGGGAGACGACGACGCCACCGCCGACTCAAGCCTAGACTCGAACACCCAAGGCAAGAAGAAGCACGACAAAAAGCCAACCCCAGATGATGCAAATCTAAACCCAGATGAGCAAAACCCAAATCCAGATGATCAACAGCCAGACCCAGATGAGCAACAGCCAGACCCAGATGAGCAACAGCCAAAGCCAGGTGAGGACGAGGAATCGGGCTTCGCGGGCACGTGGAAAAAGAAGGATGGCAGAATGCAACACGTACATCGAGGCGGCAAGAAAGAGCGCTGGGGTCGCATAAAGGCTAGACATGTGCAGCATATGATGTTGCAGGGGTAGGAAGGAGGTTTCCTCGGTAAGTTCTTCTTCTTCTTCTTCTTCTTCTTCTTCTTCTTCTTATTGATATCATCCCCCCAGGATAAGAGGAGGAAAGAAGAGTTTTTTTTTTGCTGACAAGTATTGCTGTAGGGGAAGTAGACAGCAGAGATTGAAGAGTCAAACAGATCGTAAAGGGATTTTCCAAGTTGCTTTGTCGAGAAGGGAGGTATGGATTAAGTAGCGGGTTTTATAGAGTGGTTGCCGATATGATTTGGATTTGAAATTGGTGGAAAGTTTACGAAAAAAGGTTTTTTTTTGGGGGGGGGGGCGAATTGGAGAAGGTTTTTAGAATTCATTGGTAGTAAAAAACTATAGCCAATATCTGTGAGGAAAACCAGTTACGCACTTCACCACAGCCTAAAACAACCCGTTCCTCATGCATACCTGACAAAAATCACAATGCAGATAGGTTTGGACAATCCGAATGAAAAGGAGAAGAGGATAGAATTAACCAACAACCCCCCAAGTGCATCACAGCTTGGGCCGGATGCATGAGCACGAATCAACGTGGGAAAACCTAGTCTAAAATCTACCACCCAATAAATCTCTTTTAATCTCCATGGCCCTTCCCATAAAAGAATAACCAATCAAACTCCACAAAATCATTACAAGACTTGCTTGAAGAACAAACGCAATAGACTCAACTACACGGAAGACCCTTGCGGACCCCGGTCCGGCAAAAAGGGCAACATCCATTGCCAAGATTGAGAAAACAAACCATCAAGATGTGCGTGCATAGTATAGCGTGCAAATGACGCAATGAAGGGAAAGAAAGGAAAAGAAAAGAAGATACATGAAGAGAACAAGGGGATAAGAAAAAGAAATCAAAGGAGAGACAGAGGCCTAGCGGACTGGTATAGCGCGGAAAACAGATATACGACAATTTTCTCCCCCCAGATCAATACTTTAGAAACAGGCATCAAGATAAACAGTGGCATGAAAGCGTAATAGCCGCGACGAGGAAAGAAGAAACGGCCTGAGTCTCAACTGTATAATAACAAAGACTGATTCCAAACGCCGACTTCATGGTATACACGATGTTCGAATAAGACATCATTTTTTTGTAATAATCAGACGACAGAGGCCCTAAGTGCAACCTCGGGCGGTGTAGGAGGTAGTGGCGCAGTGGGTGGTGGTGCTGGGAGACCCATGAGCGAAGAGAGTGGCATGCTGAGAGGCGTGACTGGAAGATCTGCGGTTGGTGGTGGCGGAGGAAGCGGTATGCTAGGCGGCGGAGTAGGCGATGCGATATTGCGAGGTGGTGGAGGAAGAGGCATGTTTGGTGGCGGTGCGGGTGGCGGCAGGCCAATTGAGCTCAAACTTCGCTTTGGTACAATCGTCTTTTGGCTGGTTTGCTGGGCTAGCGTTCGTTGCCTCAGCGCCTCGATATTAGGGTATGCTTGAACGTTGGTCGTTGCAGGAGCTGCTTGGATGGACATTCTTTGGCCAGGAACGAAAGACGGTGTAGAAGAGATGAGACGCAGTGGGCGGGATGATAAGAAAGGTGCTCGGTCAGAACGGATCTGGACTGAGGCTGGCCGACGCAATGGGTTAGACTGTGCTGAAATAAGACCATGAAGGCTAGGGGATATTGATATGTTGGATGCTGCTGAAGCTGGCCTTATTGGCGCAGTCACGGATCGATTTGCGATCAAGGGGGAAATGGAAGGCGTAGGTGAGGGTGTCTGGCTGGCTCGACGTCTGGCAGAATCGATATGTTGGGCTTGAGGGCGGACTGGAATAGGTCGCAGAAAGGGCTTTGGTGACCCCGAAGTTCGACGCCTTGTCCCGCTGACTTTGCTAGTAGAAGCAAGGTAGGGTGCTGGGTTTGACATGCCTGTTGTTGTCGCATTACCCATAATGGACTGGCGTCGAGCAGGTGGCGGGGGAAGTGGTGCAGGCTCTTTGGGAGGAGGCGAGATGACGTCCCTCCTAGGTGGCGAGCTGTAGACATGAGCATTGAATCTCACTGGGCTATCCTCGCGAGTAGGAGGGCTGTCGTCTTCCTCGGACTGGTCTGGAATATCGTTCTTGAGCTCCGGGGGCGATGAGTATGCCAAGCCGATTTCAGTTGCTTCAGATTGGTCCAAATTTGGTGCTTGGTCAACTGATGAAATTGGGTCTGGGACCGAAGGAGTTTCAAACCCGGAGAACGTGGGTGATGCAGGACTATAGAGAGAATGACGCAAGTTTTTAGATAATGCTTCAGCTGACTGCAGAAGATTCTCGTCAGTCGTCGGCAGTGGCTGCATGGATCTACGTCGGGATGACATTGAATTGTTTGGATTCATCTGGAAGGATCGCAGAGACATGGCACTTCGGAGAGGCTCGTTGTCGCCAGTCGCACCACACTCTTCCATAAGAGGTGATTGTGGCGCGGGTGATGATTCGCGCGATGTGTTCCGGGTCCCAGCGCCAGAAAAGGATGTTGACGACGACATGAAGGAGTACCGTGAGCGGCCGCGCAATTGTTCGAGTTGCATCTGGTGCTGAGATACCGGTGTAGAGGTGGCTGATGACGTCTCGACGGAGAGACGGCTGCTTTGTCGATGAGATTGTCCGCTAGACGAGTCTATGCTACGTTTAGTCTGTTCAGGATTCGTTTCCCAGTCTGAGGTGATGATTTTTGGCGACGCTGAAAGGCGTGGTTCAATTGGTACAACCTTGCTCATGTTGTACGCGTCTCGACTGACCCTGAACCGATGGTTTGCAATTTCAGCAGACTCTTTGCTTACCGAGCCGCCATCGGTAGAGCAAGAAGCTCGGACAGAGTCATCCCTTGTTCTTGTACCACCAAGGTTATCAATCTCCCTTCGCACACTCGTCATCCATTCGTCCATCTCTTCGGCGCTCTCAAGAACCAAGAGGAAGCTCGCTACAGACCTGCGTGTGTTAAGATGTTGTGTCCGCAGACGTGCAAGGATCGAGCTTTTTGGGCCAACTTCGAGTGCCCCATCACCGCTAGCATGGCTGGATATTTGAAGCACCCAGTGTTTGCCGGGTATGAGGTCACAGGCAAAAGCCGCAGACTCCTTGCCGAGTTTGAGTACCTTTTCCGGTACCCTGTCAGAGGGACCGTCACCAGCATATTGCAGGATGTATCCGCTAGTGACCAGGACGTAAATTTTGTTGACAAGCTCTGGTGTAGGCGGGTGAAGCACCGAGTGGGATATGAGGCGTTTGTGGCTCTTCTCCAACTTCTTGGCCTCTGTGCTGTTTTCGGTAATGGTGGATAGTTCGCGTTCATGGTCGATCCTCTCGAGTAGAGACTCTGCTTGGCGTCTTTGGCTCTGTGTGCGCATCAAGACCTCTGGAGCAAAGACACAGGCTTGTACGGTAGCATGCTTGATAGACTGGGGATAAGCCTGGAAGAGCGGCGGCGGCTCCCAGTCACCAAATTCATTGTATGATGCAGCGGAGCGCATAGATGTGGGCCGAAATCTTTGGCTTGCTCGGGCGCGTATTGTCTGCTGAGCGGGGGGCGAAGGGTTTTGTCGCAGTGAAGACTTGGGTACGGACATGGGAGCAGTCGGCTTTGGCGGCGTTTGTGGCCGCATTGGCACTGCGAGACCAACCTCTGTGTGACCGCGGGCCTTTTCTACCTTTGGCCTGCTAAATAGATTGAACAAGGACATTCTGGAAGATACACGCCCGGGCGTTTTTGTTGGAGCTGGTACGGATGCTTTGGATGCTACCGAGTGTGAGCGGGCTGCTTCTTGTGCTGCTTCTCGCAGGTTTGCTGTAGAGCGGGTAAGGCGCCATCTGGACATGGGCGGCCGTGCCGAAAGGTCGGCCATTGTGAATGTGCTGTGACTGCACGGCGGCAGTGTAGCAATGTGAGAGAGCGACTGGAGGGTAAATGTGAGTGCCGGTGAGTAGATGATTTGGAGGGGACAAGGCGAGTGGGTAGTAGGTGTGGCAGATTGGTTGCGGCACGGGACAGTCGAATCTGTCGATATGGGGAGCGACAGGGAAGGCTGGTCTCTCGGGGGTCAAGGGCTCTCGGAAGGGATGGCCGGGGTGCAGACGTTGGTTGAATATGGTCCGTGTGTGAGAGTGTGACAATGGCGATTTGGAAGTCGAGGATATCGAAAGAGCCGAATTGGGGATTAAGCAATGTGGGGAGAGTCAGCGGAAAGGAACAAGGAGCGGGCTATAGGTGGTGGTGGTATAGCACCAGGAGAAGCGAAGATCAAACGAGCGGACAGGACATGAGCCCATGAGCAACAAGAAGGCGGCGGCGCCGGGCGGCAGATATGTGGACAGGACCAGAAAGCCGACCAAAGTGAAACGACGACACGAGTCGGCTTTGGTAACGAGAGTCGCGGAGGAGGAGAAGAGTGGTGGCGAGGGTTAGTTGCCGCAGATGAAGGATGGGTAATCATGGTAGTGCGCCAGGGGAGCAGTTCCCTGTGTGATGTGAAGACGCAGGGGGTGTAATGTGGCCCCTATACAGCCAGCTCGACGACAAAGTTGGGAAGGGAGAGATGGCGACGGCGTGCGCTAATCGAGGCCAGGGTTATTTTGGCGCGCTGCAAGCAGGCTAGCCGGGGGAGGGCCGGCACAACGTCTTTTGACAGTGCGCTGGCTCAGCCAACACGAGCATTTGGCTGTGCACGCGGACGAAGCGCGCCGATGTGAACGGGGGTTAGGGTGCAGGTACGCCACGACGCATTTTGGTAGAGAGTCCAGGCAGTACCTTGCACAGGCGGAGACGGCGACGACGGTGATGATGACGACGACGACGACAGAGTAGTTTGTAGCAGAATCCACCACTTGGCTGCTCTCGGGGCGGGGTGGAAAGGACAGGGTCGCGAAAAAAGTATTATTAGCGAAACTCTGCAGGATAAGGCCGGGCAGGGCGCGGCACTGTGGCCGCAGCAGCCGGCGCCAGGCAATACTGGGGCGTGGGGAGATATTGGATCGTGTTTGGGCGGTGAACTTGTTTTTCACGGCCAGTGTGGCACGTCCGTCACAAACACGGTCAGGGTGCGACGACGAGGCCAAAAGGAAAACGAAGTCGTAGTGGCAGCGTGGTAGAAGGCCACCAGGGGCGTGGCCACAATGTTTAGCCTGGTGTCTCAGCGTGTGCCACAGGCAGCGAGGTGCATGAGTAGAGTTTGGTGCGGTGCGGGTGCACGGGGAAGGCCATGTTAGCCCGCGCAAGCGGGGGGCATGGCTGCAAATCTTATCCCCGTTGGTGACATGTCGAGATGACGACGGGCACGGGGATGGTGAAGATGGGGCGGACGGGAACGAGGACTGATGGCGATGGAGACGGCGATGGCGATGGCGATGGGGGGCGGATGATGAGACGATGACAAGTGCAGTGGTGGTGGTGAGTAGCGGGAGAGGGGGGCAGGGGGGCGGCCGGCTTTGGTGTTCCTGCAGTAGCGCGGCCGTCCGACTTGCCCCGCCAGAGCTGCTTTCAGTCACCCCACCACAGCTGCCTGGTGACGCTGACGCTGCCCGACTACCCCGACTGCTTACTGGTACGCGTCCATCGACAGCGACACCATCTACACCTACTTGCAAGCCAGCACGATACATACACACCTACACCCCACCCCATCCCATCCCCGCCATGCCCGACGTCAACACAATCTCACCCCCTCCCCACGCCTCGCCCTCGCCTCGCACCCAGTCGCCCTCGAGCTCGCGCTCTCCCCACTCGCTCGCTGCCACGGCTGCCTTGAATGCCGGCATCCACAGCCAGGATTCGCGCTCGCCCTCGTCGGGTGACATACGCAGAGATGCAGAGCGTGCCCGTCGCCGCTCCAGCATCCGCATGAACCTCAACCTCAACGATCCCGCCCTACCTGCCCCCGGCGAGATGCAGCAAAGCCCTTCAGCTCGCGCCAGAGGCACCGGCACCTGGCCACACAGCCCCCACCACGAGCGCGCCCCTAGCCTGGGGGAGCTGCACCAGGAGCTTGAGGCTGAGCAGGAGGGCCAGGTCAACCGCCTCCTCAATATGATTCGCGCCCAGCAGGCCCAGATAAACAGCCTCCAAGCCAACCAGCACCCCTCGTCCGCCTCTGCTGTTGTCGACGACGGCACCCCAACCTCGGAGCGTTCCATGTCCATCCCCGCCTCGCACTCGCACTCGCAGCACATGTCGCCGCTGCCCTCGGCCGCCCAGCCCCGCTCCCGTTCGCCCTTTGGCCTGGGTTCTATCAGCCGCCAGTCGTCGTTTGCAGACCGCTCACGCCACAGCAGTCATGCGGGCTCTCCCGCCCTGCGGCCCATATCCGGCCAAGCCGGCTCCTACGACCCCCACGACATGCTTCCCAGCCCTGCAGCCGCTAGAGATGAAAGTGCTTTTTACCAGGCAGAGACCCAGAATCTGACTCGCGAGAACCAGATGCTCAAGCAGCGCATACGAGAACTAGGCAAGTACTTATCTAGCTGTAGTACACCACTAGTGCTGACGGTATTCTTCTGTAGAGCGCCAGCTAGCAGAACAAAACCCTACCAGCCAAACCACCCACTCGCCCTCTGTCCACTCTAGTCTTGCCCCAACCCCTAATCGCCAGGCCGACAATGGTGATGATGGCACCCAGGATGCCCAGCCCTCGGCCACTGCAGAGTAATTTTGGGTCTTTTTTGTTATATCTTTTTTTCCTACGGGCGTCAGGTTGGGTTTCTCCTCTCATGACATGATTATGACGGTGGCGGCGGTTGCATGGTAATGGCGTTGAAGTGGTTTTGAGAAGAAAAAAACAGTGACTCCTAGTCATCGTTCTTTTTTTCGGTAATTTGCAGTACGACCAATGGCTTGTGGCTGAATTCGTCACGTTAATTGACTATTTTGGTTTTCGCATGTGTGGTTCCGACATGACTGTACTTTTGGTCTGGGATTAATTGTTTGCTTACCCCATTGCACAGCAACAACCTTGCGAGAACCAGAACAAAATGACAATAATCATGAGATCTATGCCTTGGATGCAGGTATGAAAAAACAGATGAGAGATATATCACGCAATTATACGACACGAGCAGGTACGTCATGGGTATCCTAACTTGACACGTAACAACCCTTGTCTACCCGCGCGCTCCTGCCACCTGTTCGAAACCACTACTTGGAAACATTTACAACTATAGCGAACTATTTTAATTTGTTCTTCTCCATAAAATCCCCTACTAATATATACACACCTACTCTCAAGTAAGTGTACATGTCCGAAACCCACAATTATGCAACAACAAAACTAGTCCCCCATCCTCCCATTTCCTTACTAAACATACCACGCCAATGTCTAAACACTGCAACACAAACAACCCAATAAAGCCATTTCCCCAATCACACCCTTTTCCCCGCGCGCACCAACAAATACTTGGACCCCCTAACCGTTTCAACTCCCCTCTCCACCGCGCAAAAAAATAATCCGAAATAAACGTTCTACCCTTTTTTTTCGGTGATCCAAACTTTCTTCGCCGTATGTTTCAAGGAGAAAGGGCCAAAAAAAAGAACACGCAATAGAAAGCTTGGACACAGACGCGCACACTGATCACTTTGGAGCCCCCCCGCTCCCTCCGGGCACGGGCTCCTAACGAAAAAATGGAACCCTTGATCTCTCTCAATCACCGTTTCAAAACGTTGGCGCGGAATGAAAAAAAGGTTAAATTGCGCAAAGGTAAAGGTTGAAGATTTGGATTGAGTCGGAGATGCAAGGGAAACATAAGGGGGGGAGGGTTAAACTCTGCACATGATGGGGTGAAGAGACGAAGGAAAAAAAAGGGAGAAAAGAAAAGAAAAACAGAATAATTGGAGAAAAATCTCCATGAGAAAAAGCGCTTAGAGGTTACTATGAAAAAAAAACTCGAGTACAACTACAGATACTGTTTCTCTCTCTCTCTCTCTCTCTCTCTCGCCTTCGATATCACACCACACGTCACTCTTCAACTCAAGAACACAAATTTTTGAACATGTGGAAAAAAAAAACGCCAAAATGCGCCTGCTGAGCCATGCATTGTATCATCGTGCCTAACCCCCCGTCTCTACCTCGCGCTATCCCTCTACCCTAGTGTAGCTAAACAAACAAACAAACAAAACACGACCTACACTAACACTACAACTACTCCTCCTCAACCTCCTCCACAGTTGCCCGTGGTGGCCGCTGAGTTGCTCCACCCTCTGCTGTAGGTTCGGCCCCAGTAGCTTGCGGTGCGTTATCCACAGGTGCGGGCGCAGGCGCAGGAGGAGCAGCAAAGGGAGCAGCATTTGGCGGCACTGGCGTCGTTGTCCTTGAAGCATCATGACCGTGTTTCTTGCTCTTGATACCTGCCGCTTTAGCAGCCAGCTTAGCAGCTTTCTTTTCCTTTTTCGCAGCCTTCTTTGCCTTGATATCCTCGGGAGTCTGTCGTAATGATTAGTTACATCTTTTGAAGAAGAAAAAAACAAAGGACCAAAAAAAAGGTCGGGTATATCCACGTACCTCTTGCCATGCCCAGACAGGCCGGAACGAGTCGAAGAAACCGACGTCTTCGAAGAGATTCGGGTAGAGCCAGAGACCAGGCGGCGCAACGAATATCGTGATGATGAAGAGAATCAGGCGGACAATGGCCATGACGAAGAAGAGTCCGATTAATCCGAGCATGCCCATACTCAGGTACCACACACCTTGGCGCAGCATCAGTGGCCACAGCGGGAACAGCACAATGGCAATGACGGCTACCAAGGCGCCCACAGCGTACAGCTTCTGCTTCCATTGCGATCCTTCGTACAACCAAATGTAGTAGCTGTCATCATTTGCGTCTTGGTGCTGCTCAATTTTGACAGTCCACAGACCCTTGACGCGCTTGGGCTTGGCGTGGTTGTGGCCCTCGTGTTCGTCCTCGTCGGCCTTGGATACCCGGAGCGCAAGTAGAGAAAGCGGCAGCAGCTTGAAACAGTTCTCTGCCGTTACGCGGTCGTAGACTTCTGGGAGCAGGGGGTTCTTAGCCCGTGCCTTTTGGTATGCGGGTGACTGGATGGCGCGGATTGCTCGCTTGACTATTATTCACTTGTTAATTGCATATTCACTTGACAGAATATATATATATATATATATATGGTCGCATCCTACCTCTGAACATGTCCTTTCTCTTTTCGTCGTGCACGACGGTTCTGGGCTTCAGGTCCTGCGACTTGAGCCAATTCGCAAGAGCAATGGCTTCTGGCTTGGGTGGGCCGGGCTGGATGGGCTGCTGCTGTTGCGCGCGCTGCTGGGCCTCCATCTGCGCCTGCATCTGCATCTGTTGCTGAGCCATGGCCTGCTGTCGCATTCGCTGAACATATTCCTGAATCGAGATTCCATGCCTTTGGGCCTCGGCGGCAATTTGCATCTGGATTTGCTGGATTTGCTCGGGTGTGGGCTTTTCGCCGTTGGGCCCGAGGGGTATCGGAATGGCAATCGAGCCCGGTGGTGGCGGGCCTTGATGGGTCTCGTACTCTGGCGGGGGTTGTTCTTGTTCGGCCATGGTGAGAGCGAGAGTTTGAACCGCTGGGCAAGAGAGATGACCTGACCGATCAAGGCGGAGGGGAAACCAGGTTGTTGATGGACGACTCTGGAAAAAACTAAAGCGTTTGGCGGTTGACACGGTGGACTTTGGTGATGCCACATTACATCAAACCCCAGGCCGGCGGAAGGTAGGTCCGGGCGGGGTGACTAAGCGACGCTTGGGTACATGAAATTCTTTGCGAGCTACTAAAAGCTTTTCCTTCCACCTCACCTGTTCACAACAACTTCGACTTTGTTTCCACATACTGCCAGGATACTCTACGCGCACCATGGCTTGCGCTTTATTGCTTCACGAATCCGACTAGGCCAATCGTTGACGAATGCCGTGCCCTCAGCATCCCTCTGGCAGGGTCTGGTGCGCGGCCGCACATGCCTCGAGGAATGCGCTTGGAGCCAGCCATGTAAAGGGCACCGCCCTTGTCCAGCACCAGCACCAGCATGGCCAGCATTGGCCAGCAAGTATCGGCTGGGCACAGGGTTAAGGAACGAGGGCCCCTGTGGCGAGGGGCTGCATTCCTATTGAACATGGACCAGGCGGTGTCGCATGGGCATATGCAGCGCGTACGGGCATGTGCTTCAAAGTGCAGTCTTGCCAGGCAAATGGCCATGTTGCAAGATGGGATCAAGTTGGCAAATGTCGGCTGATGAGTTTGAGCCCAGGCTTGATTGGCAACGGGAGGGCAGGCTGTCCGGGGCACCCTGGAACCCTTGCGCACTGTGATGAAGCATCACTTCACCAACACTCTGGCCCTTACTTCCCTTACTGTATAGGCCTATTTTGGTGTGAAGAAGAGAAAGCGACCCATTACTCACCGCGGAGCCTTTCCTTTCGGGTGGCTCCAGTGGTCCTTTTCGGCGGTCAACATGCCCATGTGTGTTTGTGCAGCTTCGTGTTTGTGTGTGTATTGTCTTTGCGATGGGCGTGATGTGGTGTGGCGGCAGCTTGTCGCGCTATGGGGGATCTGCATGGCACATGAAACGGCTGCATCAACGATGACGGCTGACGCGGGAGCCCTTGGCGTGCGGGTACGGTGATTGTTGCATGTGTCTGTGGGTGGATGCATGTATGTACAGTGTGCTTATGTACACAGTCGGTGAAGGAAGCCAGGAAGAAGAGTCTTCACAGCGGACGGCGGGCGGGCCAGTCAGGCCGCCAGAAGGATGCAAGCTGCAAGCATCCAGGGCGGCCGGGCTGGTGAACGACGATGGATGGATGGATGGGCCGTGGTGGATATTGCGGCACCCGCGTCAATGGACGAGGGCCCCTGCAAGCCGCCGTCTCTGGGGGCGTCATGTCTCTCGCAGCAGTCTGCAGGCTGCTAGCATGGCCAAGTTTTGTTTTCCATGCAGTCGGGGCGTCAGCGCCCCCCCATGGCATGCACGTCAGTATACTTGCTGACTGCAACTGCAGTGCGGCGATGGAAGAAGCTGGCCGCGGCCTGGTCCTGGTCCCCACGCATCCTGCATCCTGCCATCCATCCACATCCATGCCCAGCGCCGCCACTGCTGGAGCTGCTCCCGCCGGTGCTCGTCCAGCTCGCCCGCCGTAGCGCGTTCCTCGATCCCGCTCGATCGCCTGGCGGACATCCCCCAGACCGTCTGCGTCGGTCGCCTGGCAGGGATCGCTCCAAGCCACCTCTCGAACGAGTGAGCGGATACGAAAGCGGATAGGCCTGCCGCTGCCTCGTCTCCGCCGCACCACACCTCGTCATCTCGCCCGCCCGCCTATCCGCCCTCGAGCGTGTGTCGAGCGTGAGCGCAAGCGTGTACGTGAGCGTGAGCCCCGAGCGAGGGTGAAAAAGCAGCCATCCAAGCCTCGACGTGCAGCCCGCTGACACGGCGTGACGGAACCGCTGCTGCGCCCCCAGTCGCAGCCCGCCCGTAGCACGCTGACTCTGCCTCCTCAGCCCACTCGACCACCGACGGCCTTGCCGCGACACGACGCCCAGAAACCGCGTCCCTACGACTGCACAACTGCACCACCCGCCCTCCGACCACCCTGCTCTGCCCCGTTGCTGCACATCGCACAGAGAGGGCCCGCACTTGAGCGACCCTCTCTCGCCCGAGCAGCAATCCTCGCCCGGGCTCTCTGCTGCTAACCTGCCAGCACGCCGACGCCCGGTGCTGAGCAGTCCAATCCACCACCACCCCCCCAGAGATATGTCAAGCGCAGCAGACGGGCGACGATTCCGCGAAGGCATAGGCACCAGCCGCTCCTGGTGAAGCTGTGCTGTGGGGTTGTCACCACATAGTTGGCTTCCAAACCATTGTCCCAAGCTGACCACCGGTACACACCCTCTGGCTCGCTGCCAGTCTCGGTCTCGGGCGCGACACGCCCCATTCACCCACGCACGTACGCACACACACACACATATACACACACATACACACACACGACCAGATTCCCTCCAACGGCTCCCCCACCATGACCATGGTCCGGCCATACCCCCCGCAGCCGCCGTCGCAGCTTCCTTCTACCCCAGGCTACAGCAACATGGCACCTGCCCCGTCACACGCCTCATACCTCCGCAATGGCCCTACCCCCGACGGCCGCAGCCTCGCCCAACACTCTATCCCCCAACAATACGCCCATCCGCTATCCAGACACAGCGCATACGGTTCGCCGCCCTCCGACACGGGCCGCACTCCAAAGCCCGCAGAGCACATGCTGCGCCGCAAGACGCCAAATGGTATTCTGGCCGCCGCATACGATGGCACATCTGTCGAGACCAACGGAGAGCCCCATGCGACAAAACACATTCTGCTTCCCGTGACCGCCGAATCCGGCATGCCCTATCGCATTAACAAAGACCTGCCTCTCCGCTCGCCGGCTCTTCATCGTGGCCACGCCCAGAATCAGAGAGATGGGCTGGAATGGAGTGCCAGTCGTTACTTTGAGACGGGATCTGGCCTCTCCGCCCAACACTTGCCACAGATTGATTCGATGCTTAGCCAAATACCCCCATTGCAACCCCTTGAGCCCTACCAGATGTACGGCAATCCTTTCTGCGGCCCCATGGGGCCTCCATTTCAAACACCCCTGAATCCCACCGTCTCCAACGATCAAGGGCCATATGGCCCGTATTGGCACGATGGCACCTACATTCCCTATCGGCCTGCTGCCATGCGCGATCCTCGGTTTTTGCATCATCCTAATCATAACTGGAGTCATTCACATAGCAACCCCTTTGCAGGTCACCCCTACAGTAATGTCATGCCCAATCTTTCACATCATCAGCCGAATCCTGTTCAATTAGACTATGCACAAGGCGCCTACGGCCGCGCCCCAAGGCCGCAACTGGAGTTTTCGCCATATGCGCAGCCCCATGCAAACGTTGCATTGGATTATCAAAATCAGCTTCTCCCTCCGCCCCCTACTCAACGTCCTCAAGACTTTTTGCATTCCGGTCAAACAACACCTATCGCTGAGCACATGCCCAGCATTCCGCTCGATGACTTTAGTACACTACCCCCGAGCGAACAGCCAAGGGAAAAGGTGTTTGCATGGGCCCATGCTGTCTACGTAGACATGCTTAGACATTTACAAGCAACGCGGAAAACTAATTCACATCCTCATGGCCGCACACACCAACGGCCTCACATTTACCCCAAACCGCCGCGACAACCCGGAGGCAGCGTTTCTGGTCCTTCGGTCAGCAGCATGCCGTCTCTGGAACGTCGTGTATCGTGTCCAGTTCCCAACCACTATGCGTCACCTCAACCTGGATCAGAATTTGTGCACAAGAGACCTCAAATGCCGCATTCACGTTCGTTATCAGCATGGTCAGTTGGAGGTCCTGGCCCGAATAGCCAGCCGTGGCAAGGAGGTATGCCACTACAGCATCCCATGCAGCCTCACACTGCAGCCATCGAACCACCACGGACCTTGCGCCGAATGTCTGGATCAGTTGCCGGCGTTCACCAGAGCCTCCAACACGGTGTCCCTCCAAGCGTGACTACTGCTTCTGCCCTAGAGGCCATCACCAAACATTGCGAAGAAAGCAAATGGACTTGGATAGACGGCATCCTTTTAGGTGGTTGTCTGGCTTACGCGCTGGGTGACTACCAAAAGGCTCAAGACTGGTACAAACATATCCTGACCCTCGACAAAGAGTAAGCACACCCCTGTTCTCGGTATAGGTTTAGTACTAACCCAAATTGAAGCCATGTTGAAGCCATTTCGAATCTGGCGGCTACTATGCTTGCTCTTCAGCAAAAGCGTGAAGCCGAGAGCCACTGGAGGCGCGCTGTCAAACTACGTCCAAGCTATTTCGAGGCTGTCGAGCATCTCATTGGTCTACTCTGTAGTGACCACAAAGGACGAGAGGCGGTTCAGGTTATCGAAGATGTTGAACGTCAGCTGAGATTCGTCAAGCGAGGAGATGCCCTGCGAAGTCTTGAAGCGCAAAGCGAACGTTCAGCCTCTACATACAGCGAGTCGAGCCTCTCTGAAGCATCCGATCGCCCCATTTTCGAGTTCGAAGGCGAAGAATCATCGGTTTTCAAGGAGCTAGACGAGCTTCCTGGCTCGGATCAGCCAGGCTTCGGCTCGAGCGGATATGCCATTGCAGGCTGCGATAACGGTCGCATTCTTGCATTGGTACACGCCAAAGGCAATATGCTCTACGCACTTGGCGATAATGCCGCCGCCGCCAGAGCCTTCGAAGATGCAGTTCTTATTGGGACTGGACCACACACCAACGGCATTGATGGTCTCATCAAGCGTATTCTTGCCGTTGTTGGATACGATGTTGCAGAGCGCTCACCAGGTGGACGCCGTGTGCCACCCTCGTCCGATCCAATCCTGCTCCCGCCGGATGCAGCGACTAGGACAGCTCAGCTTTGCTTCCCACCTCATGGCCAGCTCCCTGGTCTGAAACATGTTTCCAGCGAAGGTCTCTCGAGGAAAGCAGCTATATCGACGATGAGTAACTCCTTACTCTCATTGGCAAAGATTTTCCAAGACGGCATGGCTACCAACTCGCCAAAGACGCCGACGTATCAGAGTACCTACGGTGTCCGAGAGATTCTGGCTCTTTATTACTTATCATTATCCCTTCAGCCCAGTCCATCAACAGCCAACAACGTCGGTATTTTACTTGCCAGCGTGCAACAGTCTGCCCCTGCAAAACCGAGTCCTGTATCGCACGCTTTTGCTCAGCCTCAGATACCTGGCTTAATCCCAGGCAGTGGCGTTGCTCTCGCCCTTGCATACTACTCCTACGGACTCCAGTTGGATTCATCCCACGCTCACCTGTACACGAACCTCGGAAGTCTCTTGAAAGACATTGGACAACTGGATTATGCTATCAACATGTACGAAAAGGCCGTCCAATGCGATCAAGGATTCGACATTGCTCTCGCAAACCTTGCCAATGCCGTCAAAGACAAAGGCCGCATCGCCGATGCCATCTTCTACTATCGCAAGGCTGTCAAGTCGAGCCCTGACTTTGCGGAAGCTGTTTGTGGGCTTGCTAATGCTCTCAATTCAGTTTGCAACTGGGCTGGGAGAGGTGGAATAGCCGACGATCACGGCTCCAGAGACCGATGGCACGTCAACGAGAATGGCATGCTTTTGGACGCCGCTCTACCAGGTGCTTCGAGTTCCGGATGGATCCACAAGGTTGTCAAGTTGGTTGAGAAGCAGCTTGCTGATGGCGAGGACTGGGGCAGAGGTGTCATGGATGATTACTTCATCCAGGATATCATGCGTCCCTTTATTCTCACTGGCACTAATGCACAAGATACCAAAGAGAAAGAGGATAGCATGAGAAAAGTATTGACCAAATGGAAGGGCCAGAAGTGGGAAGGCGCCCGCATCGTACGTCTTGTTGAGCGTGCTATCAGATGGATGACTTGGCAGTGGTATCAGGATCGACATGTGACTGGACAGCAGCGACCGTCATCCTCATACAGAAGGCCCCAGCTCCCAGCGGGCTTGACGATACCTGCAGCTCCAACTGTACTACCTTTTCACACCTTCACATGTCCCATGTCAGCCAAGCAAATTCGCCTGATATCACAACGGAACGGCCTGCGAATCTCATGTTCGACGTTGAGGGTTCCCTGGCTCCCACCGACTGTTTATCAACCACCAGCTCCACCGAGGCCATATCTGAAAGTCGGCTACGTATCTTCAGACTTCAACAACCATCCACTAGCTCATCTGATGCAGTCTGTGTTTGGATTGCACGACCCGAGCCGTGTAAAAGCGTATTGTTATGCGACCACTGCGAGTGACGGATCCGAACACCGCAAGCAGATCGAGAAGGAATCTCCAGTCTTCTACGACGCCAGCAGTTGGTCTGCGGAGCGACTGGTCCACCAGATCACCAGTGACGGCATACATGTCCTTGTGAACCTCAACGGATACACCAGGGGAGCAAGGAACGAAGTATTCGCTGCCCGTCCTGCTCCCATCCAAATGGCCTTTATGGGTTTTGCGGGTACCCTCGGCGCCGAATGGTGCGACTACCTGCTTGCTGATGATACTGCTGTGCCCCCGGACACTCTCCGTCAATGGCGCCGTAACATCGACCTTGAAGATGCATTGGTGGACGACAACAGCGGCGGCACAGACGACAAGTGGATATACGGAGAAAACATCATCTTCTGCAGGGATACATTCTTCTGCTGTGACCACAGACAGAGTGCTCCAGACTCGCAAGGTCGACAGCCAAACTGGGAAGAAGAGCAACAACGAAGATGGGCGATGCGCAAAGAAATATTTCCCAACCTTTCCGACAACGCCATCATTCTTGCGAATTTTAACCAGTTGTACAAGGTAAGTTGATCGTGACTTCAGCTATCGTGCATTGACTAATCATTGTACCAGATCGAACCCACAACGTTCCGCACTTGGTTGCGCATTCTTGAGAAGATTCCCAACGCCGTTCTCTGGCTGTTACGATTCCCCGACCTTGGCGAGACGAACCTCAAGCAAACAGCTCTCATGTGGGCAGGTGCAGAAGTCGCCAGTCGCATCATGTTTACCGACGTTGCTCAAAAGCATCAGCACATTTCTCGGGCACGTGTCTGTGATCTGTTCCTAGATACGCCCGAGTGCAACGCGCATACGACGGCTGCGGATGTGCTTTGGTCTGGTACGCCGTTGCTAACGCTACCACGATACAAGTACAAGATGTGCTCTCGAATGGCAGCGTCCATTCTCAAGGGCGCATTGCCCAAGACGCCCGCGGGTGCACAAGCTGCGAAAGAGCTTATCGCATCCAGCGACGAAGAATACGAGGACATGGCTGTCCGCTTAACACGCGATTACAAGTACGAGGGTCACCGACCCACTGGACGACTCAGTGAATTACGACATATGCTCTACGAGTCACGGTGGACAAGCCCTCTTTTTGACACCAAAAGATGGGTTCGGGATTTAGAAGATGCATACGAAAGAGCATGGAAAAAATGGGAAAAGGGTGAAGGCGGTGACATATGGCTGAAGCATTGATAGCTCTCTTAAGCATAGCGGTTGCATTCTCATTTGCTAGAAGCACGCTTGAGGCTAGACCAGGCATGCATGTGTTTTGAGCTTAGATTCTTGGTTTGGATTCTGCGAATTTTGCGAACTACGCACTGGGATTTTGTAAGCAGTTGGTTACTGCGGTTATATTCTGTTGTTCCTATACCCCCACATTGATTTGTATTGGATATGTTTCTTGGTTATGTAGGGGGTGTTTGCGTGCCCTCCGGTAGCTTCATGTTAATGGGCATTCAAGTCGGCATTATCTTCGTTAGCCATTTTTGGATAATAGGACTTTTGACTCGCGTTCGGCCACATGTTGTGTCTGTTTTCAGAGCGAGTAGGCAATTCTTTTGGTGGACTTCAAAAGTGACAAGCATTCAGGAGGGAAGCCCGATCTCTGTTGTAATCGCGCTAGCAAAGCTTAGCGCGATCGCAACTCTATTCATATTGCCCTCTCCGCTCGCCAGCGGGATGGATAGTTGGTATCATTAACCCTTCTTATTTGTACCCTCTGAAAGCGCATTGTTATTCTATCCTGCTCAAGACGCACCATGGCTCCGCGCAAGAAAGCCGCAGCAACAGTAGCCAGTCCTAACAAAGCTGCAAAGTCTGCCAAGGCAATCATCACATCCCCTTTAACACCACCTGCCGTTGCACTACCGCCATCGCGTATCCACAGCACATCGTACCACTACCCGCTCATCTTGGGCAATCGGTCGGCATGCGACGCGTTACTATCCTGGTTCAATGGCGTCGCAGAGACGCGTAGTATGCCGTGGAGAAAAGCGTGGATCAACCCCGCCGATTTTGAAGGCCGGGAAGAAGAGCTTAAGAGCGTTCTATCGAAAAGAGCCTACGAGGTTTGGGTGTCTGAAGTCAGTAAGTATGCGCTGTGGTTTTCTGTAAATGCTGCGCGACGCGATGCTGAATCGCGTAACGCGCCAAAACGCGTCATCACGTGCTCATGGGCTTAGCCACTTTCATGTGTCGCCCATGCTAACAAGCATTAGTGTTGCAACAGACACGTGTGTCGACTGTCATTCCATATTTCAACAACTGGATAGCAAAATGGCCCACAGTGGAAGACCTTGCTGCTGCAAATCATGACGATGTGCTCTCCGTCTGGAAAGGCTTGGGATACTACTCCCGTGCAACTCGGCTTCACGAGGGCGCTAAGCAGATGACGTCTGCACCTAGTGCTTCGGGCGTAATTCCCAGTGGGGCGGCTGAACTTCAACAAGTACCAGGTATCGGGAGATATACTGCAGGTGCAGTATCCAGTATCGCATTCGGCGAGCCCGAGCCAGTGCTCGATGGAAACGTTGCAAGAGTGTTAAGCCGGCAGCTAGGCCTGTACATGGACGCAAAAGACAAAAAGACGACAGACATCATGTGGGACATGGCGGACCAGTTGATTAAATTTGCGTCCAACTACCCAGAACAGCGGAAAAGCGCGGTACCGGGATTATGGAACCAGGCGCTGATGGAACTCGGATCTACCGTCTGTACTCCACGACCACGGTGTGACGAATGTCCCATACAAGCCACGTGCAGAACATACAGCGAAGGGAAAGCGTTGTCTGAGAAGCGCCAAGCATCTACTGCCATCCCGGACATTGAAGATGCATGCATGCTGTGTGCGCCACTAGATACCGAAGATTTGGTTACTATTGCCGAGGACGAAGCAACAGACGACGCACAAAGAGCTACCAAGAAGAGAAAAGCTGCTGTGAAGCAGACCAACACCCTCTCGAATTACTTTACTGTCAGCACATCGAAAACCAATGCTGATACCGAAACTGATCAAGAGAGCGCCGACGACACCCCAGTGGAAGAGTCGAAGAAGCGAAAACTGCCCCCACCGGCTTCAGATATAAAGCCTATTTTGAGCTATTGCTCCTTGTTTCCTATGAAGGTCGCAAAGAAGAAGGCTGCGGAGGAAGAGTGTGTCGTGTGTATGATTGAGCTTTGCTTTCCAGATGGTGGAAGCAAGTGGCTAATCGAACAAAGACCCAGCAAAGGTTTGATATCTTGTATTTCAAGTAGTCACTGTGCTAACAAGTGGCGATAGGGCTTTTGGCATCCTTGTGGTACGTAAACCATGTCCAGGCTACTCGGAGGTGTGCTACTAGACCTAGGCTGCTATCTCCTAGACACCTCGGTACACCTATCCGCGCGGTACCCGTCGTGATAGGCCATCTGTCTTAGCTTTTTGTCTTTATCTTTTTCTCGGGCGTGTACTGATTGTGGCACAGGCAGTTCCCACAAGTCTCACTAACGGCATCACAAAAGACGCCGCAGCAACGCAAGGCTCTTGCCCAGAAACACGTTGCTGACCTCGCTGCAGGCAAGGTTGATATGAGTCAAGCGCGTTATGTGGCGTCTTTGTCGCCATTGGTCCATGTCTTCACTCATTTAAAGCTCACCATGCACGCCTATCAGTTCAGGATCGACGCTGATAACGCCAAAAGTTTCGAGCCGGTATGCAAGGGCCCGCCGGCCCGCAAGTGGGTGGACGGTGCATCCATGGACGACGAGACGTTGTCGACCGGAATGCGCAGATGCTGGGACCTTCTCGCCAGCGAGAAATAAAATGGGTTCGACATGGTACAGTTTCGTTCAAAAGGGTTCCCGGAGGGCCGTTCCCGCGTACCCCACGCGTCGTTATCTCTCGCCAAGCGTTTGCCGTGTGGACTTCCGCCCTTTGCCTTCTTGGCTGTCTCCACTCGCTCTGGGGAAGTGGAACGATAACGTATGGCGGAAGCCCCGACTATACCAGGCAAGGAGAATACTTCCTTTTTGTACGCTGGCTCGCCTTGGTAACAACCTTGCGTTGGATCCATGGTAGTTGTCCGTATCAGTGGCGCCCCCCCCTTTCCTCCGGTCGAATCAAAAAGACATGTTTAGTTTGGGTAATCAGCGAGATATATTGCATGTGATGGATCTTTTACTTTAGATATAAGCAAACGTTATTTTCCCCCGGTGTCGACTTAGCAACCCGCAGGCCCGTTTCTTAGTTTGAAGCTATTCAGCGTGCGCGCGCGCAAAACCCGCCTACGCTAGCAATATCTGTAGTAGTTTGCTAGTTAGTAGGTAGTAGTAGACATGGCTACACCACCTGCCCCTACTCCTGTACTGGAGTGGCCGGACTACAACACCACGCCGACTGGAGGTGACCCACTGACTACCGATCTCAACGCTCCGTATGACAAAGGCGACCTATGCTGGATGCTAGTCAGCACAGTACTGTGCTGGTAAGTCATCTACTATTTTCCATTCCAGCGGCCCCCCCCCCCTTTCCCCCTAAACAAACCAAGACAACATACCGTAAACTAACGCTTGCAAAAAACTCTACCAGGCAAATCACCCCAGCAATCGGCTTCCTGTACGCGGGCATGCACCGCCGCAAAGCCGCCATGACGATGATTTTCCAGTCCCTCTTCTGCGCCTGCGCAGCCGGAATCCAGTTCTGGGTCTATGGCTACTCGCTGTACCAATCGCACACTTCGGGTCCGTTTATCGGCGACCTGTCCAAAGCAGGCCTGCATACTGTGCTCGGGTACCCCTCGCTGGCCAATGCCGACATCCCGGATATCCTGTATGCGTGCTTTGGGTTCACGTTTGTTACGGCTACGGCGATGATTCTGGCGGGAGCGATGCTGGAGCGCGGCCGCTTGGGGCCGTCGATGATCTTCTTGCTGTGCTGGACGACGTTTGTCTACTATATCCTTGCGTATGCAGAGTGGAATCCTAGTGGCTGGTTGTATCAGCTGGGTGTGCTGGATTTTGCGGGTTCGGGTCCTGTCCATATTGCGTCGGGTTTTGCTGCGCTCGCGTGGGCCATTATGCTGGGCCCGCGTGTGGATCCCCATAAGGAGTCGCTGCACGCGCGCATGCCACATTTCAGGCCGCATAGCCCGTTTTTGATTGGGCTGGGCACGGTTTTTATTTGGTTTGGGTGGTTTGCGTTTAATGGTGAGTGAGTGAGGGGGTTGGGGGGGATATACAGGTCTTTTTTTTTTGGCGTGGAATGATCATATGCTAATAAGTGTTGCAAGGTGCTTCGACGGCAAATCTGTCTATCCGATCCATCTACATTGTCTGCAACACCAATCTCGCTGCTTCTGGCGGCGGCCTCGCCTGGGTCGCACTGGAATACCTTTTCACGCGTAAATTCTCCATCATTGGATTCTGCTCCGGCATCATCGCGGGTCTCGTCGGCATCACACCAGCCTGCGGTTTCGTTCCTATTGAAACCGCCGCGTTAGTCGGTGCACTCACATCTTGCTCCTCCTTCTTCACAGTCAAGTACAAGCATCTTCTCCGCGTAGACGAGGGTCTCGATATCTTCGCTATCCACGGTATGGGCGGCTTCGTCGGTGACATCCTTACCGGCTTCTTCGCCTCGAAATCCGTGCCTGCGCTCGATGGCGTAAGCAACGCCTACGAAGGCGGCTGGTGGAACCAAAACTGGAAGCAAATGGGATACCAGCTCGCTGCCGCAACTACCTGCGCAGCATGGTCTTTTGTCATTTCCATCATTTTGCTCTTCATTATCAATAAGATTCCTCGGTGCCACATCAGGGCTACCGAGGAAGAGGAGCTGCGAGGTCTTGATTACAAGTATTTTAGCGATGTGGAGGAGGATTTAGTGGTGCTGAATGGGTATGGTGCTGCGAGGTTGGGGACGTCGACTTTGGGCATGGTGAGTGGCTCAGGGAGTCATCAGGATGTTCCTGTTGATGCTGGGAAGCTGGATTGAAGAGTAGATAAGACCATATTTAATTCATGCTACAGAAACCTAGGACCGTTGAATCACTCCCGCAAGACTACAATTACATGCCATAAAGTCGCCCAGATCCTTTTCCGGATCAGAAGAGTTGTCTCAGGAGTGGAGTGTGGTATAATGTTGTATAGAGTAGATGAGACTGTGTGGTGCAATGTTGTAAAAGGCAGATAGTGTCGTGTGGTGCAATGTTGTAAAAAGCAAATGGGAGTGTGTGAAGTAATGGTGAACAAAGAAGATGAGGGTGTGAGGCCTATGAGCAGCTCACTTCTGTCCAGAAGACTCTCCGGGCTTGAGGTTCTCTGAGCCCTGCGGAGGTCTTACAGAAAGTGTTGTAGTACCCTGCTCCAACAATTTGTTGTATGAGGTTACTTCGCCAACATAGTTGAACGCAGTGTTGTTGCGGTTCAACTGGGTCCAAACCGTGATGGGGATAGAGAAGAGAAGAACTGTAGACGAAGCATCCCAGACGCCTTCCAGCTTGATTTCCATGTTCATGATTGAATATGGCAACTGTTCGTTGAGCCATTTCTTCAACCCTTCAACGCTCCCCTTGTCAAGAGGTCCCTCGAGATGCGCCGTAAGTAGGATACGCGGGCTATCTGGCTTGAGAGGTGGAACCACGGCCGCCTTACCCCTGCTCCCCCCTAAGATTATCGACGGTTTGCCATCTCGGTAACTGTGGAATGGAATGTATTTGAGTTTCAGGGCTCTACGGTCCGTCATGAGCGATTGGTAAAGGGTTGACACCGTGAACTGCTGAGAAGACATAAGGTGGAGTTGATGACACAGGGCCGCTGTGAAGCACGTCTTGGCGTCTGCACTGGCCGTTTCTGTGGCAGCGGCCAATAGCTCTGCATCTAAATTCATGCCTTCGGCGGCATAGCAGCAGTCCAGGATGTGAAGGACATCGCACTGTTCCGTACCGAGGAGTGAAGTCGCCATTTTCCAATCCAACTCTCTAGTTTTGAATCTTCCATCATGACGCAATGCACCACTGAGAACTGTATTAGTAAACTGTAAACAAAAATGACCAAAAGCACACAAGTGATCAACTTACCCGAGCTTTAGAACGTACTCTGGTCCTCGAACCGAGCTGGATGTGTACACAGGGAGAGCCTTTCCATGGCCAGCAAATACAACGACCACAAGGCAGTTTTTCTTTGCAAAGCCCTTTGCTACCAGATCACTGAGAACTCCCCATATAACCCCAATTGGGTTTTCGTAGTCCTTGAGCAAGAGCCGTATGATGTTGTGGAAGCCGTAGAAATTTTTGAAGACCTCAGCTAGTTGTTTCTCAAGATCTTCGCAGCCAATATCATCGTTCTTGAAATGGATCAATACTGCAGTCATCGTCTTGTAATCTTGCCTAGCATTTTTGCCTGTTCCTGATTGAATGGCAGCCGAAAGCTCAGTCGAAATCTGTGCTTTCGACATATGAGACACAGTCTGACTTGCACGCGGGGGTTGGGGGCCGGACATCTTGTGGTTGCGGTTGTGGTGGGCGGTGGTTCTGTATGTATGTAAGCTGACGAGCGGTCCTAGCAATGACACTACTTACTGTGGTTCGGCGTGGAGGAGAGGAGATGCAGCTGTGTTGCGACTGTCTGTTGATGGGTGGTGGTTTGGGTTAGAGTGGGATTGCGAGCTTTATATAGTTGGGGGCAATGATAGGTGAAGGCAGGTGAAGGCACATAGTACGCGGTCACACTCACTTCTGCCCAGGTGACTCTTCACATCCTCACCGCCAGTGCGTTTGAAGTCTAACCATGGAACAATACCAGTCTGAATATCGGATTCATATGACTGGTCACTACAATTCACCGCCAGTGCGTTTGAAGTCTAACCATGGAACAATACCAGTCTGAATATCGGATTCATATGACTG